TTTTGCAGCTCTTTCAGAACATCAGCTGTCTGAATTTGTGTGAAGGAGAAGCTGGGGGGGGGGGCATGGGCAAGTTGCAGCGAAGGGTGCAGAGCTGGTGACTGGGGTAGCGGTAGCCAGGTGGAAAGCATGGCCAGCCGTAGCAAAATGCTTGTTGAAATTCTCGATTATTGTAGATTTATCGGTGGTGATAGTGTTTCCTAGCCTCAGTGCAGTGGGCAGTTGGGAGGAGGTGCTCTTATTCTCCATGGACTTTACAGTGTCCCATAACTTTTTGGAGTTAGTGCTACAGGATGCACATTTCTGTTTGAAAAAGCTAGCCTTTGCTTTCCTAACTGCTTGTGTATATTGGTTCCTAACTTCCATGAAAAGGTGCATATCGCGGGGGCTATTCGATGCTAATGCAGTACGTCACAGGATGTTTTTGTGCTGGTCAAGGGCAGTCAAGTCTGAGGAGAACCAGGGGCTATATCTGTTCTTATTTCTGAATTTTTTGAATGGGGCATGCTTATTTAAGATTGAGAGGAAATCACTTTTAAAGAACAACCAGGCATCCTCTACTGACGGAATGAGATCGATATCCATCCAGGATACCTGGGCCAGGTCAATTAGGAAGGCCTGCTCGCTAAAGTGTTTTAGGGAGCATTTGACAGTGATGAGGGGTGGTCGTTTGACCGCGGACCCGTTACAGACGTAGGCAATAAGGCAGTGATTGCTGAGATCCTGGTTGAAGACAGCAGAGGTGTATTTAGAGGGTAAGTTAGTCAGGATGATATCTATAAGGGTACCCATGTTTACGGATTTAGGGTTGTACCTGGTAGGTTCCTTGATCATTTGTGTGAGATTGAGGGCATCTAGTTTGGATTGTAGGATGGCCGGGGTGTTAAGCATATCCCAGTTTAGGTCACCAAGCAGTACGAACTCTGAGGATAGATGGGTGGCAATCAATTCACATATGGTGTCCAGGGCACAGCTGGGGGCTGAACACAACAAAAAGAAGAAGAAACTGTATTATGAAGCCAAGATCAATGATATAAAGAATGATGGGGAAAAAAACGTATGTTGCCTATTATTTTAATGATTACTTAATTGGCAAATTGGGCAAACTTAGGCAGGAAATGCCAACAATGAACAGTGAGCCATCGTACTCATGCATAAAAAACAAGTTTTAATTTTGTAAAGTTAGTGGGAGAGGTGGAAAAATTATTGTTATCGATCAATAATGACAAACTTCCTGGCAATGATAATTTGGATGGAAAGCAACTGAGGATGGTAGGTGACTCTATATTCACTCCTATCTGTCATATCTTTAATCTGAGCCTAGAGGAAAGTATTTGTCCTCAGGCCTGGAGGGAAGCCAGTCATTCCTCTACCCATATGGTAAAGTGGCCTTTACTGGTTGTAACAGCAGACCTTTCAGCTTGCTGCCAACTCTTTGCAAACTGTTGGAAAACATTGTGTTTGACCAAATACTGTACAATTGTATTTCTCTGTAAACAAATTAACAACAGACTTTCAGCATGCTTATAGATGAGGGCACTCAACATGTACTGCACTGACAAAAATTACTGATGATTGGTTGAAAGAAATTGATAATAAGAAGATTGTAGCCTTTGATATTATTGACCATAACCTGTTGTTGAGAAAACTTATGTGTTATGGCTTTTCAACCTCTGCCATATTGTGGATTCAGAGCTATCTATCTAATAGAACTCAGAGGGCTTTCTTTAATGGCAGCTTCTCTAATGTCAAACATGTAAAGTGTGGTGTACCGCAGGGCAGCTCTCTAGGACCTCTACTCTTTTCTATTTTTATCAGTGACCTGCCACTGGCATTAAACAAAGCATGTGTGTCAATGTACGCTGATGATTCAACCATATACGCATCAGCAACCACAGCTAATTAAGTCACTGAAACCCTTAAACAGTTGCAGTCTGTTTTAGAATGGGTAGACAGAAATAAACTGGTCCTGAACATCTCTAAAACTAAGAGCATTGTATTTGGTACAAATCATTCCCTCAGTTCTTAAACCTCAGCTGAATCTGGTAATGAATAGTGTGGCTGTTGAACAAGTTGAGGAGACTAAATTACTTGGTGTTACCTTAGATTGTAAACTGTCATCAAATCAAATCAAATCAAATTGTATTGGTCACATGCGCCGAATACAACAGGTGCAGACATTACAGTGAAATGCTTACTTACAGCCCTTAACCAACAGTACATTTATTTTTAACAAAAAAAGTAAAAATGAAACAACAACAAAAAGTGTTGAGAAAAAAAAGAGCAGAAGTAAAATAAAATAACAGTAGGGAGGCTATATATACAGGGGGGTACCGTTGCAGAGTCAATGTGCGGGGGCACCGGCTAGTTGAGGTAGTTGAGGTAATATGTACATGTGGGTAAAGTTAAAGTGACTATGCATAAATAATTAACAGAGTAGCAGCAGCGTAAAAAGGATGGGGTGGGGGGGCAGTGCAAATAGTCAGGGTAGCCATGATTAGCTGTTCAGGAGTCTTATGGCTTGGGGGTAGAAGCTGTTGAGAAGTCTTTTGGACCTAGACTTGGCACTCTGGTACCGCTTGCCGTGCGGTAGCAGAGAGAACAGTCTATGACTAGGGTGGCTGGAGTCTTTGACAATTTTGAGGGCCTTCCTCTGACACCGCCTGGTATAGAGGTCCTGGATGGCAGGAAGCTTGGCCCCAGTGATGTACTGGGCCGTACGCACTACCCTCTGTAGTGCCTTGCGGTCGGAGGCCAAGCAGTTTCCATACCAGGCGGTGATGCAACCAGTCAGGATGCTCTCGATGGTGCAGCTGTAGAATTTTTTGAGGATCTGAGGACCCATGCCAAATCTTTTCAGTCTCCTGAGGGGGAATAGGCTTTGTCGTGCCCTCTTCACGACTGTCTTGGTGTGTTTGGACCATGATAGTTCGTTGGTGATGTGGACACGAAGGAACTTGAAGCTCTCAACCTGTTCCACTACAGCCCCGTCGATGAGAATGGGGGCGTGCTCAGTCCTCTTTTTTTTTCCTGTAGTCCACAATCATCTCCTTTGTCTTGGTCACGTTGAGGGAGAGGTTGTTGTCCTGGCACCACACGGCCAGGTCTCTGACCACCTCCCTATAGGCTGTCTCATCGTTGTCGGTGATCAGGCCTACCACTGTTGTGTCGTCGGCAAACTTAATGATGGTGTTGGAGTCGTGCCTGGCCATGCAGTCATGGGTGAACAGAGAGTACAGGAGGGGACTGAGCACGCACCCCTGAGGGGCCCCCGTGTTGAGGATCAGCGTGGCAGATGTGTTGTTACCTACCCTTACCACCTGGGGGCGGCCCGTCAGGAAGTCCAGGATCCAGTTGCAGAGGGAGGTGTTTAGTCCCAGGATAACTGATAGATGCACACACACACACTACAGTTTAAGTTTACATACACTTAGGTTGGAGTCATTAAAACTTGTTTTTCAACCACTCCACAAATTTCTTGTTAACAAACTATAGTTTTGGCAAGTCGGTTAGAACATCTACTTTGTGTATGACACAAGTAATATTTCCATCAATTGTTTACAGACAGATTATTTCACTTATAATTCACTGTATCACAATTCCAGTGGGTCAGAAGTTTACATACACTAAGTTGACTGTGCCTTTAAACAGCTTGGAAAATTCCCGAAAATGATGTCATTGCTTTAGAAGCTTCTGATAGGCTAATTGACATCATTTGAGTCAATTGGAGGTGTACCTGTGGATGTATTTCAAGGCCTATCTTCAAACTCAGTGCCTCTTTGCTTGACATCATGGGAAGATTGTAACCTCCACAAGTCTGGTTCATCCTTGGTAGCAATTTCCAAACGCCTGAAGGTATCACGTTCATCTGTACAAACAATAGTACGCAAGTATAAACACCATGGGACCACGCAGCCGTCATACCGCTCAAGAAGGAGACGCGTTCTGTCTCCTAGAGATGAACGTACTTTGGTGCGAAAAGTGCAAATCAATCCCAGAACAACAGCAAAGGACCTTGTGAAGATGCTGGAGGAAACAGGTACAAAAGTATCTATATCCACAGTAAAACAAGTCCTATATCGACATAACCTGAATGGCCGCTCAGCAAGGAAGAAGCCACTGCTCCAAAACCGCCATAAAAAAGCCAGACTACGGTTTGCAACTGCACATGGGGACAAAGATTGAATCTTTTTGGAGAAATGTCCGCTGGTCTGATGAAACAAAAATAGAACTGTTTGGCCATAATGACCATTGTTATGTTTGGAGGAAAAAGGGGGAGGCTTACAAGCCGAAGAACACCATCCCAACCATGAAGCACCGGGGGTGGCAGCATCATGCTATAGGGGTGCTTTGCTGCAGGAGGGACTGGTGCACTTCACAAAATAGATGGCATCATGAGGAAGGAAAATGATGTGGATATATTGAAGCAACATCTCAAGACATCAGTCAGGAAGTTAAAGCTTGGTCGCAAATGGGTCTTCCAAATAGACAATAACCCCAAGCATACTTCCAAAGTTGTGAAATAAAAGCCGAAATAAGTCATTCTCTCTACTATTATTCTGACATTTCACATTCTTAAAATAAAGTGGTGATCCTAAATGACCTAAGACAGGGAATTTTTACTAGGATTAAATGTCAGGAATTGTGAAAAACTGAGTTTAAATGTATTTGGCTAAGGTGTATGTAAACTTCCGACTTCAACTGTACATGTTAATGTTTTAAAACGTATGCACATTCTGAAGTATATTTTTAGTCTGTAATGTTTTTTTTCTCTATGTGTCAGACCCCAGTAAGACTAGTGGTAGCCATTGGCGTCGGCTAATGGGGATCCTAATAAATCAAATCAAAGTAAATCAAATCAACGTTTTGGGAAAACGTGTTGTTCAGTACAAACCGTTCCGCAAAGTAGCAAACTTTCAAGTGAACTGAATGCACCTCTCTGTGACAATTCAGTCACTTGACTGAACGCAGATAATTGAGTACAAATCTATGTAACAGGAAAAAAGGACACTGTAAAATGGAAAATAAAAATACACAGTAAGTTGAAAGATGATCTATATTGGCTTCGCCCCTTCTTTTCTGGTAAGTTTAAGTCAAATCGCAATTAAGTAAAGATATTCACGTTTGTGCTGTACTGACCTAAAGACTTGTGTTTGTGCATCTTTTTACAATTGAATCTTGGTTCTCTGTTGCAGTGAGCCAGCCAGGAAGCTGTCAATTTCCATTCCCCATGTCAGTCTCCCAGATCACCCAATCTCTGTATCTGAGTGGTGTGGATGCAATCTTCATGTCCACCAGTCTCTCCAGGAGGAACATAACTCCGATAGTCAATGTCACAGCAGAGCACCCCTGTCCTCTGTATGAGGGGGAGTGTCTCCAGGTACCCATCCTGGACCAGCCTCACGCCCTCTTGGCCTGCCACTTACTGCTGTCGCAGTGTATCCATAACAACCGGGCTCCCGAGTGGGGCAGCGGTCTAAGGCACTGCATTTCAGTGCTTGAGCCGTCACTACAGACCCCCGGTTTGATTCCAGGCTGTATCACAACCGGCCGTGATTGGGAGTCCCATAGGGCGGCGCACAATTTCCCCAGCGTCGTCCGGGTTTGGCTGGTGTGGGCCGTCATTGTAAATAAGAATTTGTTCTTAACTGACTTGCCTAGTGAAATAAAGGTAAAATAAAATAAAAAATCCCTGGACGGACAGGAGGCGGCTCTTTACTGTGTGAGTGGTTTATGGATATGTGTCCCAAATGGCACCCTATTCCTTATATAGTGCACTACTTTTGACCAGGGCCTAAAGGGAATAGGCTGCCATTTGGGACAGAACGATGGCTTGTCAGTTGGCTTTCTTCAATGTCTGAGAAAATAATGAGTGCAAGTAGACCCGATTGACATGTCCTAACTTGGGGAAAATTGCTGTGAAATGGTCTGTGGCTTCGCTGGGACTCCTTTCATGCAATGTTTCTCTACCAGCAATATCCAACTGTATATACAGTTTCATACAGCGGCATTCATTTGAGAAAATTGTTGAATGCATTTGACAAGATGAAGTGATCAACCACTTTGTATAGCAGCTAAATGTATTATTAATACAGATTTCTCATATAGATGTATTTATGAGAAAATAAAACAAATTACTATGAAAAGTATTTCAGATGTTTATTTGAAAAGTATTTACATTTAGGAATGTATGTATTCATCCTAGCTTGGTAAAACAAAAACATGGTGTAAAGTCTGATCTGGCGGTACCCATCCTGGGGAGAACGGTCCAAAGTAGTGCACTATATACACTACCGTTCAATAGTTTTTTTTGTCCATTAAAATAACATCAAATTGAACAGAAATACAGTGTAGACATTGTTAATGTTGTAAATGGCTATTGTAGCTGGAAACGGCTGATTTTTAATGGAATATCTACATAGGCGTACAGAGGCCCATTATCAGCAACCATCAGTCCTGTGTTCCAATGGCACGTTGTGTTTGCTAATCCAAGTTTATCATTTTAAAAGGCTAATTTATCATTAGAAAACCCTTTTGCAATTATGTTAGCACAGCTGAAAACTGTTGTGCTGATTAAATTAGCAATAAAACTGGCCTTCTTGAGACTAGTTGAGTATATGGAGCATCAGCAATTGTGGGTTCGATTAAAGGCTCAAAATGGCCAGAAACAAATAACTTTCTTCTGAAACTCGTCAGTCTATTCATGTTCTGAGAAATGTAGGCTATTCCATGCGAGAAATTGCCAAGAAACTGAAGATCTCGTACAACGCTGTGTACTACTCCCTTCACAGAACAGTGCAAACTGCCTCTAACCAGAATAGAAAGAGGAGTGAGAGGCCCAGGTGCACAATTGTGCAAGAGGACAAATACATTAGAGTGTCTAGTTTGAGAAACGCCTCACAGGTCCTCAACTGGCAGCTTCATTAAATAGTACCCGCAAAACACCAGTCTCAACGTCAACAGTGAAGAGGCGACTCCGGGATGCTGACCTTCTAGGCAGAGTTGCAAAGAAAAAGCAAACTCAGACTGGCCAATAAAAATAAAATATTAAGATGGGCAAAAGAACACAGACACTGGACAGAGGAAGATTGGAAGAAAGTGTTATGGACAGACGAATCTAAGTTTGAGGTGTTCGGATCACAAAGAAGAACATTTGTGAGACGCAGGCCAAATGAAAAGATGCTGGAGGAGTGCTTGATGCCATCTGTCAAGCATGGTGGAGGTAAGTTGATGGTCTGGGGGTGCTTTGGTGGTGGTAAAGTGGGAGATTTGTACAGGGTAAAAGGGATCTTGAAGAAGGAAGGCTACCACTCCCTTTTGCAACGCCATACCTTGTGGACTGCGCTTGATTAGAGCCAATTTCCTCCTACAACAGGACAATGACCCAAAGCACAGCTCCACACTATGCAATAACTATTTAGGGAAGAAGCAGTCAGCTGGTATTCTGTCTATAATGGAGTGGCCAGCACAGTCACTGGATCTCAACCCTATTGAGCTGTTGTGGGAGCAGCTTGAGCGTACGTAAGAAGTGCCCATCAAGCCAATCCAACTTGTGGGAGGTGCTTCAGGAAGCATGGGGTGAAATCTCTTCAGATTACCTCAACAAATTGACAACTAGAAGGCCAAAGGTCTGCAAGGTTGTAATTGCTGCAAATTGAGGATTCTTTCACGAAAGCAAAGTTTGAAGGACACAATTATTATTTAAATTAAAAATCATTATTTCTAACCTTGTCAATGACTACATTTCCTATTCATTTTGCTATATTTCCTATTCTAACTCATTTCATGTATGTTTTCATGGAAAACAAGGACATTTCTAAGTGACCCCAATCTTTTGAACGGTAGTGTATATAGGGAATAGGGTGTCATTTGGGAAGCACTGTGTCCTTCTGGGTGGGTATATTCTGACATTATAACGATGGGTTTAGGTTAGAATAGGCCAGATGAGGAGGAATTGTCCTTAGTACTGGAAACTTCTCTTGGTCTGAATGTCATCAAGGATTTGCTGCAGCTCTTCATCCTCGAACCGCCCCTCCAGACTGCAGACAGAAGAAAACAGGCTTCAGAACAAAACAGCACAACTACTGTCACTAAATTTATACCAAACTTTTACGCCTGATTTCCTGGTCAAGAGCCGACTGCTACCCAACTAGAGACCAGGTTTAGAGTCTGGGTTAGAGCAGGGGTTCCTACACTTTTTCACTCAGGCCCTCCTTCCAGCATTGGGGACATCCAGCGCCCCCCTGCGTAAGCTCCACGTCTATTTCTATGGGCACAAGCACTGTTCATGACACAAACTGTTCACACCCCTCTTGTTGGCGGAGAGAACATGTTGCAGGTTTAAAGCTTATTTTCTGCAATTCTACACATTTTGTCATGGGGTGCAGAGAAAATGTTGCAGTTTTAAAGCAAATTTTCTTGCAATTCTATACATTTTGCCATGTCTAATATGTGTTTATGTGATATTTCAGTGACTCAAACATTTCAACAAAATCTTCAGGCTAAAAAACTTAGATAAAAAACATTAACTGACATGGGCTAGTTGATCTGGACATTTTTGACAAGTTATAAAATAGCTCTTTAAGGTATGCAATGACTGACATGACAAGAGGAAAACTGATGATACACTACCCAATTTCGAAATTGCACCTTGTGCATTCTACCATTACAACTTTCTAGAGTATGTTGAAAGCCAGACTGACGACACCCCACCCCCCCTCCCCGCAGTTTGGGAACCCCTGGTTTAGAGGGTGGTGATAAGTGAGGAGACAGTAACAGCAGGTCTTACCTAGGGATGAGGGCTTTGGCCTCCTCCGCTGCTTCTGGACAAAGGTTGGCCAAACTGGCCAGCTCAAACTTATGCAGCTTCTTCTGCAAGAGCAAGCTGTGGGATACAGGACAATAATTGCAGTCATCACGAAAAGTTAATAAACACATTCACCACCATATAAATGTACATATACTTTTATAAGGTATTGACGTTTGTTTTTGGTTGTGATAGTGACAACAGTTACACTGACCTGCGAACACTTGCGATAGTTTCTCTGTTTTTGAACCGGCTGAAACGTGCAGTATAATTCAGAGTTTTCATGAAGACCTCCGATAGCTCTTGTTCGTCCTCTGCACTCTCGTTCTGCTGCTTGCGATGCTCCAGAAGCATGTGTACCTCAGAGTTTAGAAGTGTCTCCGCGTTCTCGAACTCTGAAGAACACAGGGGAGGGGTGGGTTTTAAGTGAATTAAGTGAATCGTAATATTCAATCTAGTTAACATAAATAAGTTGGATACGAACCTTTGGGGAAAAGTAGCTGAGAAGCGTCCTCCTCAATATCTCCGACAGTTGTTGTTGAACCGCCACTGGACGCCATGCTACTTGTCACACTGAATGAATGATCCTTCCTACCTAGCTGCCGTTACAAAAAAAAAAAAAAGGTACAGAGCTGATATCCAGTTGCTTGCTCTGAACCAAAAGTTCCGTATATCGGCGCCTTATAATTTTTTGCACAATTGTTTTGGCATTACAAAAACATTAGCAAGACGAGTCTCCAAATTCATCAAGGAAGGAAGCTCCTAGTAGCTAACAACAACAAAAAACAGCGTACCAATTAGCGTCTCCTCAGAAACACTTATAAAGTACTTCTGGGTCACGGAATTTCTGAGATTTTCAAAATAAAAGTTCCCCACGTAATAGTAGAAAGGTGTCAATAACCTGTATTTATTCATGAAAAATAATTGTCTAAACCTTAACAATGATCAATATTTGTTCATATTTAAGAGACATTTGCATAAAAATTGGGTTTCAAAACATGTAAAAAAAAAAAATAAAAAAAAAAAAGGCTTTTAAATCATGTTCCAAGGTCAAATAAATGCCCCCATAATAATATAATACATATTGGTTTATAGATTAAAAACTATTCTGGGTGCCACACAAAGTATTCCACACTAAAAGTATTGTAGCGAATCCTCAGTAGGGTCTGTAGAATGTATAGGCTATTTTGTTTCACTTGGTGCTTTCAAAACAACTTGGAACTCAGAAAAAAACGAGGTCAAATTATTACTTCGGAAAGTCGGTGCTCTTGAAAGATGCCCGAGTTTCCGACTTGGAATTCCGAGTTGAAAGACCATTCAAAACTATTTTCCCAGTTAAAAGTCAGAAGTCTGAGATTTCCGAGTTCCCAGTTGTTTTAAAGGCGGCAATTTATACTGGACATGTTCAGGACATGCCCAACACACACAGCAGAGCAGCAAGCCAATAGGATGAATCTGACGTGCTTGTCATGAGATAGGGAGTCACGGGCTGCTTTTCAAACTGCGGGTAGACAGCCCTCCGCCTTGAATGAAGTTTTACATCGTCACATCCGAGTGTAGGGAGAGTGATGATCGGAGGTAACGTCCTTGGTGGAAATCTTGAAGTTGATCTTAAAAACAACTACCCTAAAGCTATTAATGTACCTAGTAAGCTAACGTATCTAGCTAGCACTCAGGTAGCTAACTACAGTTACCCATAGCTGGCTAACTAGTTTTAATAGTTTGGTCATTTATTCCAATACATTTCAGAATTCCAAAACATTTGTTTATGAATCTAGTTACGTTTTATAGGCTCCTCACTACGAGACTAAGCCAATTTGCCAATGCTAAAATCAATGTCTATATGTATTTTTTAGCAAGCTAGCTTCATACTTTTTGCAGACATGCCGAAAATGCAGCCTTGTTGATTAAATTTAACACTTCGCGGCCACCAGAGTTTGACATGTGACTGCAGTTTGCGTTGAATTGTGGGTCATATAAACCCCGCAAGTGACCAAAGTTGTTCACTTGCTCCCTCGAGCTAAATCGAGGGCCGAGGGATCAACGTTAGTAAATTGGACCTGCACTTAAAATGGCAATCAAACTGCATCCGGTTTCGATAGGGATTCCCCCTAGGGAAAGTGGCTAGCGCAAGGACTGAGGGGGTAAAAATAACGTGTTTGGACTGCTGCCACGTTGTATATCTTCAATTCCACCTTTGAACCAGTTTCACTTTCATACACAACTCTAGACTACACAGAACTTAATCGGGTAAGCAAAACAAATATTTTGTGGAATACCATTCTTGCCTGTAGTTTAATAGAAAAGTAGAGTAGGACAATTATGTCCTTAGTTTATACGTCTTTATAGCCTATTGACATAGGTCTGCTGTATTCTTTCTAAAACTATTAGTTTTAAACGGCCAAATACCTTTAAACACAGAGTTAGCTGGGATTATTCTATCAGATCACGCCAGATAAATCAAAACCATTTAGCTCACCTGACTGTCGAAAAGGGAACAGAATGCAATGTGCGTATAGTTTCGGTTCCTCGCCTCTTACAAAAAAAAGGTGCTATCTAGAACCTAAAAGGGTTCTTCGGCTGTCACCATATGAGAACCCTTTGAATAACTTTTTTGGTTCCAGGTAGAACCCTACATGGAACCCAAAAGAGTTCTACCTGGAACCAAAAAAATGTTATCCTATTGGGTTCGTTTCCCACGGGGGGCCAGTATATAAAAAAAATAAACGTATGCATTCATTAACTGTAAGTCGCTCTGAATAAGAGCATCTGCTAAATGACTGAAATGTAAATGTAATGTAATGGATGAGCCATGAGTAGAATACATTGTATACATACAGTGCCTTCGGAAAGTATTCAGACCCCTTGACTTTTTCCACATTTTGTTACAGCCTTATACTAAAATTGATTAAATAAAACAATTTCCTCAGCAATCTACACACAATACCCAACAATGACAAAGCAAAAACTGGTTTTTAGAAATGTTTGCAAACGTATTAAAAAATAAAAAACAGAAAGACCTTATTTACATACAGTATGCATTCAGACCCTTTGTATGAGACTCGAAATTGAGCTCAGGCGCATCCTGTTTCCATTGATCATCCTTGAGATGCTTCAACAACTTCATTGGAGTCCACCTGTGGTAAATTCAATTGATTGGACATGATTTGGAAAGGCACACACCTGTTTATATAAGGTCCCACAGTTGACAGTGCATGTCAGAGCAAAAACCAAGCCATGAGATAGAAGGAATTGTCCGTAGAGCTCCGAGACAGGATAGTGTCGAGGCACAGATCTGGGGAAGGGTACCAAAACATTTCTGCAGCATTGAAGGTCCCTAAGAACACAGTGGCCTCCATCGTTCTTAAATGGAAGAAGTTTGGAACCACCAAGACTCTTCCTAGAGCTGGCCGCCCGGCCAAACTGAGCAATCGGGCGAGAAGGGCCTTGGTCAGGGAAGTGACCAAGAACTCGATGGTCACTCTGACAGAGCTCTAGAGTTCCTCTGTGGAGATGGGAGAACCTTCCAGAAGGACAACCATCTCTGCAGCACTCCACCAATCAGGCCTTTATGATAGTGGCCAGACAGAAGCCACTCCTCAATAAAAGGCACATGACAGCCCGCTTGGAGTTTGCCAAAAGGCACCTAAAAGACTCTCAGACCATGAGAATAAATAGTCTCTGGTCTGATGAAACCAAGATTGAACTCTTTGGCCTGAATGCCAAGCGTCACATCTGGAAGAAACCTGGAACCATCCCTACGGTGAAGTATGGTGGTGGCAGCATCATGCTGTGGGGATGTTTTTCAGCGGCAGGGACTGGGAGACTAGTCAGGATCGAGGGAAAGATGAACAGAGCAAAGTACAGAGAGATCCTTGATGAAAACCTGCTCCAGACTGCTCAGGACCTCAGACTGGGGCGAAGGTTCACCTTCCAACAGGACAATGACCCTAAGCGCACAGCCAAGACAATGCAGGAGTGGCTTCGGGACAAGTCTCTGAATGTCCTTGAGTAGCCCAGCCAGCCGGACTTGAACCCGATCGAACATCTCTGGAGCGACCTGAAAATATCTGTGCAGCAACGCTCCCCATCCAACCTGACAGAGCTTGAGAGGATCTGCAGAGAAGAATGGGGTTAATACGCTTGAATGTCTAACTCGTGTCGGCCACGGAGATCGGGAGCACACAGTCCTCGTGAGCAGTGGTGGGGGGGGGGGGGGGGGGGGGAATAAACACGGCAGTGACAATAACCAAAGAAAATTCTCTCGGGAGGTAATGTGGTGGGCATTTGATGTTAGAGTTTGAGTGGATGGCTGAGCTAGTCCGGAGAAAGAGAGATTTGAGCTGACCAACAGCTCACACTGTTGTGTGTGTGTGTGTGGCAGCCAGCCTAATGCCGCGTTCATGTCATGTCGGGAACTCTTAAATACGTCCCTCCTACTGGGGGAAATGCACGTGAACACCTCTTCAACTCGTAATTACGACTAGGAAACTTGGGTATGATCTCTGGACCCTGATCTTTCCTACATGCTGAACTCAGACTTCATACACCACTGAAAATGGCAACAAAAATGGCTGCGATTTCCGCTGTCAATGGTGAGAATGGTTCTTGCATTCCTTCAGAGCTCTGAGCACGTGAACGCTCGAAGTCGTTCCTCCGAAGTAGGCAAGTCGTTCCTCCAATCTCTCCGACCTTGATGTGAACGCAGCCTAAGCCCCTGTGCTACTCGGTGGTGTGTGGGGCTGTGCGTTGCCACAAACGTCTCTAGGTGATTATTAGCCTAGCTCCACACATGATGTTACCTCACCGGCTCCTCTGCCTGGTCTGGACATAGACTACACAGGCCTACCCGGGGGAAGGGATATAGTTTGGTTGCATCCCAAATGGCACCCTATTCCCTTTATAGTGCACAAAAAGTGCACTGGTCAAAAGTAGTGCACTATATAGAGAATAGGGTGCCATTTGGGACAAAACCTGGGAGATCATGTTACTGTCCTGTCCACTCTCAGGGAATTAACTATATGTCTACTACCACTCAGTCTGTACTATACTCAAAACCTGCTACCCATCAAAGTCACTATAGATTATACTGTAAACAGTGTCTTCATGCTAGACTATAGTAGTGTTGTAGTAGTCTTAGTTTGTACGTCTGATTCTGAACCCTCACTGAACACTGTCCGTCTCTCAAACACCTCAGAAATACTACTATCCATTAAGTTGTGTTTAGTGGGCGGAGGAGGGCATCACTGAACAAACAGAGCAGACCATTAGAGCAGCAAACAGACAATTGAACAGAATATGAAGTCAATGAGGCTTGTAATGATCAAAGACAATTGGAGTATGTCAACAAAGACCCTCCTAGACCCCTCCCGTAATCCTATTCTCCATCAGGGATAGAGTTGATCCTCCCAGTCTCTGTTTGTGTCCACAATGGCACCCTAAGATTATTTCATTCATTCAGATCTAGGATGGGTTATTTTAGTGTTCCCTTTATTTTTTTGAGCAGTGTGTATATATATATGAGAGAGAGATCTTACCACCTCTTATTTTTTATTTTTTTTATTTACAGAATCCTTCTAACTTCTTCAAACTCACGGAACCATAAGTCCCAGAAAGACAAGCCAAGATGGTTCTCACGCTGACAGCTCAGCCTTAAAGAGCCCCCTGAAACAAATGCATTTCAACCAAGGTTCCACCCTAAATCCCTCTAATGGTTCAGGGGACTCAGGGACCAGCAGAACCACGGCCAGCCAGGCCAGGGGAGCAGACACACGTTACGCCAAGAAGAACGTCCCTACTGTCAGATATCATCCTGACATCGCAGAGCAAAGAGCTGAGGCCCATCAGCATAGTCATAGCCCTGTCAAGAGCAGTCAGGTTAGGGGTACGCCTGTGGTCTCTCCCCCCAGGACCAACCAGGTTCAAATAAAATCTAATAAAATCAGCAGAGCCATGGCCAGCCAGGCCAGGGGAGCAGGAGAAAAGACCACAGATACATGTTACGCCAAGAAGAACATCCCTACTGTCAGATATCATCCTGACATCGCAGAGAAGAGACCTGAGGCCCATCAGCATAGTCATAGCCCTGTCAAGAGCAGTCAGGTTAGGGGTACGCCTGTGGTCTCTCCCCCCAGGACCAACCAGGTTCAAATAAAATCTAATAAAATCAGCAGAGCCATGGCCAGCCAGGCCAGGGGAGCAGGAGAAAAGACCACAGATACATGTTACGCCAAGAAGAACATCCCTACTGTCAGATATCATCCTGACATCGCAGAGAAGAGACCTGAGGCCCATCAGCATAGTCATAGCCCTGTCAAGAGCTGCCAGGTCAGGGGTAAGCCTGTGGTCTCTCCCCCCAGGCCCAAAGCCCTGCCCCTGGGGTTAGGTCAGAAGGTAGAAGATGGTGTTGTGGAGGCGGTGGAGCTCCAGACCCGGGGCCAGCGAGAGAACCCCAGCTGGTTTTCCTGGCGTCAGAACCGAATCACAGCGTCGGTCGCTCACCGCCTCGCCCACAGCCGCTTCGTTACTGGCCAGAGCACAACCCCGCCGGCTTCCTACCTGGCCGCCATCACAGGCCACGGCACCAACGTCAAGACCCGCGCCATGACCTGGGGCATCATGCAGGAGGCCGAGGCCGTGCGGAGGTACCACCTATGTATTTACTGTAATTGTCCTGCGATTGTTTTTAAATGTTGTATTTGTATTGTTTTTCTGTGGCTGTAAGGATGACAAACTAATTTCCCCTCTGGGATTAATAAAGTACAATCTCATCTAATTTTATCTCAGATATCAGATCCTGAAGAGCAAGGCCCTGGGCTGGGCGGTGAGGGTGCAGGAGTGTGGCCTGTTCATCGACCCCCAGCGCCCCTGGCTAGCAGGCAGTCCTGACGGCATCGTAGAGGACCAAAGGACCGGCCAACGGCTGCTCTGCCTAGAGGTCAAGTGTCCCTATAAGCACCGTCAGAACACTGTAGCCCAGGCCTGTAGAGAGGACCCAGCCTTCTGCGTGACGATACAGGACCAGGGGGAGGAGGGGGGACAGGTTAGTTAGGACATGTTTGTTGTGTCATTGTACGCCCTGACTTTGGCTATGCCAAGCTTTATTTATTTTTTGTTCGAACATACTATCATAATAAAGGCATTTTAATTATATGATGAGTGCCTTGCCTTGGTCCCCTTGTTTTTTGATGACCAGTTAACCCCTTAACCAAAGAGCACCTTCAATCTACAAAGATCTACCTTCTAGTGTATTCTAGCAGCACTTCCCAATTATTTTTTCTTATTTTCTCTACAGGTGAGGTACCATCTGAAGCCAGACCACAGCTACTACACCCAGATCCAGTGCCAGCTGGCGGTGACAGGGTTAACACAGGCTGACCTAGTGGTGTTCACCCTGAAGGAAACAGCCATCGTCCCTGTGACCTTTGACCCTGCGTTCTGGGACGACACCCTGGCCAAGCTGGAGATGTTCTACACCGACGCTGTCCTGCCCTACATCAGAGACAACGGACTGGACGTACCAGCTATGAGGCCGGAGGAGTAGCTAGCATGCCTGGACATTGTGGTAGAACCATGTGGCTAGCTGGTTGAGGATGTCAGATATAGAAGTCCCTAGACAAACTGTAGTTTTGTCTGTGGTGAAGGACTGGTCTGGGTTGTGTCTGTGGTAAAGGGCTATGGCGACTGCATAGATAAGTGGAACCTTCTGCTTTTGACAGGCAGGCTTGGAGATTTGAACCTATTACTTTACTTTACTGTGAAATATTTTAATGTAAATAAACCATGCCTGCCTTAAGACATCTCAGATACCTGGAGCTGATTTCGTGTGAGCAGAGATCAACCTATTACTGAACAAAAATGTAAACACAACATGCAACAATTTCAAATATTTTACTGTACATAGAAGGAAATCAGTCAATTTAAATAAATAAATTAGGCCCTAATCTATGGATTTCACATGATTGGGCAGGGGCACTGTTATGGGTGGGCCTGGGAGGGCATAGGCCCACCCAGTTGGGAGCCAGGTCCACCCACTGGGCTGGCGTGGTTATACATGGTCTGCGGTTGTGAGGCCAGTTGGACGTACTGCCAAATTATCTACAACAACGTTGGAGGCGGCTTATGGTAGATAAATGAACATTAAATTCTCTGGCAACCGCTCTGGTGGACATTCCTGCAGTCAGCATGCCAATTGCACGCTCCCTCAAAACTTGACATCTGTGACATTGTGTTGTGAGACAAAACTGCACATTTTAGTGGTCTTTTATTGTCCCCAACACAAGGTGCACCTGTGTAATGATCATGCTGTTTAATCAGTTTCTTGATATGCCACACCTGTCAGGTGGGTGGTTTATCTTGGCAAAGGAGAAATGCTCACGAACATGGGATGTAAACACATTTTTGAGAGAACATTTGAGAGAAATATGCTTTTTGTGCGAATGGAAAATTTCTGGGATCTTTTATTTCATCTCATGAAACATGGGACCAACACTTTACATGTTGCTTTTTTATTTTGTTCAGTATATATGATCAACAGTAGTGTGGCAGCTGACAGGAACATAGCGTAGTTGTGCTGGAGATCGGTTGCTTAAATAGGCACTGGAAGAATACTTGCTTAATAATGGTGATGCTTTGCTCCATTAAAACAAGACAGAACCATATTATCTGGTCTGGTGACTGATTTTGTGTACAAGGTACTTGTGAAAATAATATGTAAACCAGGGCTGCCCAACCCTCTTCCTGGAAATCTACTGTCCCGTAGGTTTTCAGTCCAACCCTAATTTAGCGTATCTGATTCAGCTAGTTAAGGTCTTGTTGAGCAGCTAATAAGTAGAATGAGGTGTGTTAAATTAGGGTTGGACTGAAAACCCACAGGACGGTAGATCTCCAGGAAGATGGTTGGGCAGCCCTGATGTAAACAGTACAGAACAACGATGAGACTTACGAGTTAGTCGTTGACCTTTATTACTGCATGTGTCACATATAAGCTATAATAAACAACTCTAAAAAAGCAAACTATTTACATCTTACTAAAGGTTTACCATCTGATATAAACTGAGTGTACAAAACATTATGAACACCTGCGCTTTCCATGACAGACTGACCAGGTGAAAGCTATGATCCCTTATTGATGTCACTTATTAAATCCACTTCAATCAGTGTAGATGAAGGGGAGGAGACAGGTTAAATAAGGATTTTTAAGCCTTGAGACAATTCAGACATGGATTGTGTATGTGTGCCATTCAGAGGGTGAATGGGAAAGAAAATATATAAGTGCTTTTGAACGGGGTATGGTAATAGGTGCCAGGCTCACCAGTTTGTGTCAAGAACTGCAACGCTGCTGGATTTTCACGCTCAACAGTTTACAGTGTGTATCACGAATGGTCCACTACCCAAAGGACATCCAGCCAACTTGACACAACTTGTGGGAAGCATTGGAGTCAACATGGGCCAGCATCCCTGTAGAACGCTTTCGACACCTTGTAGAGTCCATGCCCCGACGAATTGAGGCTATTCTGAGGGCAAAAGGGGGGAGGTGGGGGGTGCAACTAAATTAGGAAGGTGTTCTTAATGCTTTGTATGTACGCTCGGTGTAAATATATAACGTGTTTGGAAGAGTGGCAGGCATCCACTGGGCACTGTATAATAATAATACAACTGAGAGTCAGAAAGTCGCACTCGTGACAATCTTATACATCTTAAATGGCAACAACTGTGGAAATAACTGAAAATGCATATTTTGAGAAAGCAGTCCCCAGAAACCTGTCCATGTGTCTCAAATTGCACCCTATTCCCTACATTGTAAAATACTAAGGAGTGAATTGAACATACTAGTGTAGATGAGCCAAGGCAAGCCCTTAGGTTCAGTGATGCACAAATGAAGAGATGGGTGGATGGAGGGAGTAATGAAGGGAGGGGTGGATGGAGCCTGGAGGGACCTGGCCTTTACGACCAGGTCCACCTAAAGGATATCGCCCTCAACAGCAGACCCAACACCTCACACAGGAGCAACAGATCAACAGACACCCTGCCCAGACCAGCAAGACACTCTCCAAGACCTGCGGGACCCCCCCGGGACCCCCCCCCCACCCCCCCACCCCCCCAGACCTACACATAGAGGACCCCCGCCGAGAGGACCTACATCCAGACCAGAGCACCACAAGCCACATCCACACCCCCACCCCAAACAATTAACACCCCCCCAAGTCAACCATGCCCACACCCCATTTAGGCCCCCTCAGATCAGACCTATGCCCTTCCTACCCACCCCATGCCCCCTACTCCCGCAAAGAGGGCCTCAACATGAAAGTCACACATACGCCCAGGCCGTGAGCAGGCAAATAGACCCAACCCCCACTCTTACACTAGCCCAAGCCAATGGCATGTACCAGATGCTCAGCAGGCTCTGCTCACAATTGCTGGCCTGAGGCCAAACCACACGACCAACAACATTAGACACTTTATGGAACACAAAGCCTTCACTATTTCATCCTGGAATATCCAAGGCCTGAGGTCATCTGCCTTTGGCCTAAAGAGCAGGAACCTGGACTTCACCAAAGAAAAGGGAAATACAGACATTGTCACCCTACAAGAAACACGGTATAGAGGAGATGGACCCACTGGTTGCCCTCTAGGTTACAGAGAGCTGGTAGTCCCATCCACCAAACTACCAGGTGTGAAACAGGGGACTCAGGGGGTATGCTAATTTGGTATAGAGCAGACCTAACTCACTCTAATAAATTAATCAAAACAGGAACATTTTACATTTGGCTAGAAATTCAAAAGGAAATGATCTCAACAGAGAAAAATGTCCTCCTGTGTGCTACCTATATCCCCCCACTAGAATCCCCATAGTTTAATGAAGACAGCTTCTCCATCCTGGAGGGGGAAATCAATCATTTCCAGACCCAGGGACATGTACTAGTCTGTGGTGACCTAAATGCCAGAACTAGATAAAAACCTGACACCCTCAGCACACAGGGGGACAAACACCTACCTGGAGGTGACAGCATTCCCTCCCCCATATGCCCCCCTAGGCACAACTACAACAACATAACCAACAAAAACGGGTCACAACTCCTGCAGCTATGTCGCACGCTGGGTATGTTCATAGTCAATGGTAGGCTTCGAGGGGACTCCTATGGTAGGTACACCTATAGCTCATCTCTTGGCAGTAGTACTGTAGACTACTTTATCACTGACCTCAACCCAGAGTCTCTCAGAGCGTTCACAGTCAGCCCACTGACACCCCTATCAGACCAAAGCAAAATCACAGTCCACTTGAACAGAGCAATACTCAATCATGAGGCATCAAAGCCAAAGGAACTGAATAATATTAAGAAATGCTATAGATGGAAGGAAAGTAGTGTCGAAACCTACCAAAAAACAATTAGGCAACAACAAATTCAATCCCTTTTAGACAACTTTGTGGACAAAACATTCTACTGTAACAGTGAAGGTGTAAACCTGGCAGTAGAAAACCTAAACAGTATATTTGACCTCTCAGCTTCCCTATCAAATCTAAAAATCTCTAACAGAAAACCGAAGAAAAGTAACAACAGTGATAAATGGTTTGATGAAGAATGCAAAAACCTAAGAAAGAAATTGAGAAACCTATCCAACCAAAAACATAGAGACCCAGAAAACCTGAGCCTACGCCCTCACTATGGTGAATCACTAAAACATTACAGAAATACACTACGGAAAAAGAAGGAACAGCATGTCAGAAATCAGCTCAATGTAATTGAAGAATCCATAGACTCTAACCACTTCTGGGAAAATTGGAAAACACAAAAAAAAAAAAAACACGAAGAGCTATCTATCCAAAACGGAGATGTATGGGTAAACCACTTCTCATTTTACATTTACATTTTAGTCATTTAGCAGACGCTCTTATCCAGAGCGACTTCCAATTAGTGCATTCATTTTTCATACTGCCCCCCGTGGGAAGCCAAAGGAACTGAATAATATTAAGAAATGCTATAAATGGAGGGATAGTGTCGAAACCTACCAAAAAACAATTAGGCAACAACAAATTCAAATTCAACAACAAATTCAAATTCTCCAATATTTTTGGCCCTATAACAAAGAACAAACAGCAAAAAAATATACATGATCAAATGCAAATCTTAGAATCAACTATTAAAGACTACCAGAACCCACTGGATTCTCCAATTACATTGAATGAAATATACAAACCCTCCAACCGAAAAAGGCCTGTGGTGTTGATGGTATCCTCAATGAAATGATAAAATATACAGACCACAAATTCCAATTGGCTATACTTAAACTCTTTAACATCATCCTTAGCTCTGGCATCTTCCCCAATAAGGACTGATCACACCAATCCACAAATTTGACAGCAATAACTACCATGGGATATGAGTCAACAGCAACCTTGGGAAAATCCTCTGCATTATCATTAACAGCAGACTAGTTCATTTCCTAAGTGAAAACAATGTACTGAGCAAATGTCAAATTGGCTTTTTACCAAATGACCGTACGACAGACCACGTATTCCCCCTGCACACCCTAATTGACAAACAAACAAAACAAAACAAAGGCAAAGTCTTCTCATGCTTTGTTGATTTCAAAAAAGCTTTTGACTCAATTTGCCATAAGGGTCTGCTATACAAATTGATGGAAAGTGGGGTTGGGGGAAAAACAAACGACATTATAAAATCCATGTACACAAACAACAAGTGTGTGGTTAAAATTGGCAAAAAACACACACATTTCTTTCCACAGGTCATTGGGGTGATACAGGGATGCAGTTTAAGCCCCACCCTCTTCAACATATATATCAACGAATTAGCGAGGGCACTAGTACAGTCTGCAGCACCCGGCCTCACCCTACTAGAATCTGAAGTCAAATGTCTACTGTTTGCTGATGATCTGGTGCTTCTGTCACCAACCAAGGAGGGCCTACAGCAGCACCTAGATATTCTGCACAGATTCTGTCAGACCTGGGCCCTGACAGTAAATCTCAGTAAGACAAAAACAATGGTGATCCAAAAAAGGTCCAGTTGCCAGGACCACAAATACAAATTCCATCTAGACACCGTTTCCCTAGAGCACACAAAAAACGATACATACCTCGGCCTAAACATCAGCGCCACAGGTAAATTCCACAAAGCTGTGAACGATCTGAGAGACAAGGCAAGAAGAGCTTTCTATGCCATCAAAAGGAACATAAAATTCGACATACCAATTAGGATCTGGCTAAAAATACTTGAATCAGTTATAGAACCCATTGCCCTTTATGGTTGTGAGGTCTGGGGTCCGCTCACCAACCAATAATTCACAAAATGGGACAAACACCAAATTGAGACTGCATGCAGAATTCTGCAAAAATATCCTCAGTGTACAACGAAAAACACCTAATAATGCATGCAGAGCAGAATTAGGCCGATACCCACTAATTATCAACATCCAGAAAAGAGCCGTTAAATTCTATAACCACTTAAAAGGAAGCGATTCCCAAACCTTCCATAACAAAGCCATCACCTACAGAGAGATGAACTTGGAGAAGTGTCCCCTAAGTAAGCTGGTCCTGGGGCTCTGTTCACAAACACAAACAGACTACACAGAGCCCCAGGACAACAACAACAACACAATTAGACCCAACCAAATCATGAGAAAACAAAAAGAGAATTACTTGACACATTGGAAAGAATTAACAAAAAAACAGAGCAAACTAGAATGCTATTTGGCCCTAAACAGAGAGTACACAGTGGCAGAACAACTGACCACTGTGACTGACCCAAAGTTAAGGAAATCTTTGACTATGTACAGACTCAGTGAGCATAGCCTTGCTATTGAGAAAGGCAGCCGTAGGCAGACCTGGCTCTCAAGAGAAGACAGGCTATGTGCACACTGCCCACAAAATGAGGTGGAAACTGAGCTGCACTTCCTAACCTCCTGCCAAATGTATAACCATATTAGAGACACATATTTCCCTCCGATTACAGAGATCCACAAAGAATTTGAAAACAAACCCAATTTTGATAAACTCCCTTATCTACTGGGTGAAATACCAGTGTGCCATAACAGCAGCAATATTTGTGACCTGTTGCCACAAGAAAAGGGCAACCAGTGAAGAACAAACACCATTGTAAATACAACCCATATTTATATTTATTTATTTTCCCATTTGTACTTTAACTATTTGCACATTGTTACAACACTGTATATATACACATAATATGACATTTGAAATGTCTTTATTCTTTTGGAACTTCTGAGTGTAATGTTTACTGTTAATATGTATTGTTTATTTCACTTTTGTTTACTATCTACTTCACTTGCTTTGGCAATGTTAACATACGTTTCCCATGCCACTAAAGCCCTTACATTTAATTGAATTGAATTAAAGGGTTGAGTGAAGGTAAGGGAGGATGAAGGGAGGGGTGGGGGTAAATGAGATTAGCATGTGAGAAGATGTTATGTTCTCACCACAACAGTAACAACAGACTGTTACCAACCACATCCCTCTTTCACCCCTGCCCTCACTCCATCCCCCCATTCCCTCTTTCTCTCTCCTGTAGCCCCTCATTCCTTCCTGAGTAGACATGATTGTCTGTGAATGTTCTGGAGAGAGTGATAGGATCTTACAATGCCTGGATAGGTATTTTAAGTATCAGCTAGCCACATCATATGTTATAAACAATCTGGTGCCTGACGGCACAGTTGATGACCATTGGTTGATGAATGCAACATCTGAGCAGGGGAACACAACCGTAGACTCATGGCTTGGTTGCTGATGGCAGTGTCCTGGGTCGTGTTCATTAGGCACAAAATTTAAGAAAAAGGACTGAAACAGGGAGGACTACCTGGACTTGTCCAATAACAAAAGTTAATTTACTTTTTCTGTGTTTTACTGAACACAACCCTGGTGGCTGGAGGTGGTTTTTGCAGAGTGGCAAAATGGACCAGCATAGAACTTGATGCTCACTAGTGGTCAATGTCCCAAATGGTCACCCTATTTCCTACATAGGGCTCTGGTCAAAAGTAGTTCACTATATAGGTTACCTAGTCAGTTGCACAACTGAATGCGTTCAACCGAAATGTGTCTTCTGCATTCAACCGAACCCCTCTGAATCAGAGAGGTGCGGAGGGCTGCCTTAATCGACATCAACAGCGCTCTGGGAGCAGTTATTGTTGGGGGTTAACTGCCTAGCTCAAAGGTAAAACTGCAGATTTTTCCACCTTGGGGATTCAAACCAGTGACCTTTCGGTTACTGGCCCAACAGTCTTAACCACTAGGCTACCTGCTGCCAATTGGGATGCAGCCAATGAACCAGCTGGTGCTCTCTAGTCGCTGAAGCGTTTGCGGGGGGCGATCCGCGCCCGGTTGGAGCGTCTGATGTTGGTCTTGGCATCTCGGCAGGGCTGGCAGGTGAAGACTTCAGGAACGTGGGTGCGGCGGATCTTAGCGCAGGACAGGTGCACCCAGGTGCCACACTCACTACACTCTATCATGGGCCGACCCGCGAACGGCTTCAGGCAGAAACAGGTGATCAGGTCCCACGAGTCGTCCTCATCTGAGAAAAGAGAGAAATAGAAGAGAGACGTTATATTAAACACAGCCTCTGTTTTAAACTATCAATGATGGTTGTAGATAGTAATGAGGTAATGAGTGAGCTGTGTCCAAAACGGCAACCTGTTCCATATTACTTTTGACCAGAGTCCTACTAGGGTCCTGGTCAAAAGTAGTTCACTATATAGGGAATATGGGCCTTGGTCAAAATTAGTGCTATAGAGGACAGCGTTCCATTTGGGATGCACCTTTAGTCTCAGGTGGGATTCCTTTCTACTCACCCTCCATCTTGCTGTTGTCTGCAGACATGTCCTCTCCATCGCTCCCTCCCTGGTCTGTCTGGTAGTTGCTCCTTCCATGTTCCCGGTCCTGGTCGGGACTGCTGCCCTCCTCTGTGTGGTAGCCTGTCTCTTGGTCTTCAGCTAGCTGACCTCTCAACCTCCTGTCCATCACCATCCTCAGGATATCTGACCTCTGACCCCTGTCTATCCCTCCTTCACTACCAGACCCCTCCCAGCTCTCCCTAGACCCCTTCTCCTCTTCTTTTCTTATCTTATTTTCTGTGTTTCCCGGCCTGTGAGGACTGCTCCCCTCCGTCTCACAGCTTGTCGTTGTCATGTCAACAGGCTGCTCTGTCACTTCCTGTTCCAGTTCTTCACTTCCTTTCTTCTGAGGGGTTGTAGCGTCGCTTGTCTTCCCAGCTGACCCGTTGGGGTCTGGTGTGTCTGTCTGACCGATGTTGGTCTTGTTCTTGTGGTCAGAAAGAGAGCTGCTGGGGGTGGCTTCAGGGAAGAGTTGAGTCAGGGAAGATTGGGGAAGTTTACAGTCATGGTCACGTTTGGGAACCGTGAGAGGATGTATTTTGTTGTAAGTAGGACAGCTGTTGTGGTTGGTCCGTCCAGACTGGGGCTGGTGCTGCTCATGGAGCTCTGGCATTCTGCTGACTGTTGATCTAGGGGCAGCCTGTTTCGTATTGGGAGACTTCTTGGCACTTCCTCCTCTAGGCTTCTTCTCCCCCTGACCAGGCCCAGCTGGATTCTTGTCTGACCTCCTCCTCTTCACCTCCTTCCCTTTCTCCGTCTGGCTCTGAGCGGAGGAGCCACAGTCTGAGTTAGGAGAGGACTGGTAGGCCCATGGACTGGTACTGTGGCTGGTGCTGCAGGGGTTGCTGTCCCTGGGCTTGCTCTCACTACACCACCACTCCTACAGGGGGATACATCACCATGTAAACACCAGCAGAACTGGATACATCATTCAACAGAAATATGCTGAACAAAAATATAAACGCAACATGCAACAATTTCAAAGATTTTACTGAGTTACAGTTCATATAAGAAATCAGTCAATTGAAATAAATTAATTAGGCCCTAATCTATGGATTTCACATGACAGAGCATACAGATATGCATCTGTTGGTCACAGATATCTTTTTAAAAAAAGGTAGGGGTGTGGATCAGAAAACCAGTCAGTATCTGGTGTGACCACCATTTGCGGCGTGACACATTTCCTTCACATAGAGTTGATCAGGCTGTTGATTGTGGCCCGTGGAATGTTGTCCACTCCTCTTCAATGGCTGAGCGATGTTGCTGGATATTGGCGGGAACTGGAACACACTGTCCATGGGGCACTCTGTTCACAATGTTGACATCAGCAAACCGCTCGCCCACACGACGCAATACACGTGGTCTGCGGTTGTGAGGCCGGTTGGATGTACTGCCAAATTCTCTAAAACGATGTTGGAGGCAGCTTATGGTAGAGAAATTAACATTGAATTCTCTGGCAACAGCTCTGGTGGACATTCCTTCAGTCAGCATGCCAATTGCATGCTCCCTCAAAACTTGAGAAATGTGGCATTGTGTTGTGTGACAAAACTGCTAATTTTAGAGTGGCCTTTTATGGTCTCCAGCACAAGATGCACCTGTGTAATGATCATGCTGTTTAATCAGCTTCTTGATATGCCACACCTGTCAGGTGGATGGATTATCTTGGCAAAGGAGAAATGCTCACTAACAGGGATGTAAACAAATTTGTGCGCAAAACTTTTGTGGATCTTTTATTTCAGCTCATGAAACATGGGACCAACACTTTACATGTTGCATTTATATTTTTCTTCAGTGTAGAAACAATAAGAATCAATTAATTACAAGAGCAATTTGGTGTTAATAAGCTACATCTCAGTCTTACTTGAACAGGAGAAAACTGTGTTTTATCAACCTACCTCTGTTTGATAGGGGATGTATCCAGCATAGGCCAACACAAAGGTGCAAAACTGGTTGAAGTCTTCCACAGTGCGTTTTCTCTTTCTCTGCGGAAACAAACAAACAAACACCTTGTTATTATATACCATTAATAACCACATTGTAACATATGCCGGGTCCCTCCCATCCATGCAGCTGGCTCGTAGCGCCGGGTAGGCATTTGAGACCATTCCATTGGTCTTGAAAGCAAACTCTGGCTACTCGGTGCACCCAGCGAGCTGAAACAAATGCACCTAAGTGCAATAGTAAACTGCCGTGAGCCAAAGCGCGGGAGGCACTGTCACACCGACCAACCAACCAGTTGTAGGCAAGCCTACACTTTGTTCGGTTGACAACATCGAGACAGTTATGTAACAGACAAACCCGATGTGTGAAAGCAGGCTTTACGGTAATGATACAACGATTTCCAACTGCTTTAGAACGTCAGGGCCCACGCCTTTTGAAATGTAAACGTTATTAACATGGATAGATGGTGGGACTGACTCGGTGTGGCCAAGAGAGATACCTATACTGCAAAAACGGCTATATATCCTAGAAGTAGTGATCAAGCTCAAGCTAAACTAGAAAAGTACATTTCCTGAAGAAAATGTGGTGTGCTTGCTAGCTTGTTTTAAAGTATTTATGGTTGTGAAATAAGTTATAGTAGTGGTAGTGACTGCAGTAGTAATGGTAGTGACTGGTTATAGTTGAAAATGTAGGTAGATGGAAAGATTGATTGAATGATTGATAGGATAAGATATGATGGGCCCGTGTAGTTCAGTTGGTAGAGCATGGCGCTTGCAACGCCAGGGTTGTGGGTTCGATTCCCACGGGGGGTCAGTATGAAAAAATAAAAAAATAATGTATGCTAAGAGCGTCTGCTAAATGACTAAAATGTAAAATGATAGCCTGAACATGTGAAAGTTGGTTTGGTGTCTCTAGCTTGATCGGTTAAAGAGTTACTGTTGGTGGGATAGCTTATGCTAATTTATGCAAATGTATATAGTAAAGATTTTAAACAATTTTAAGTTAGGATAGCCTGAACATGGTCAAGTTGGTCTTATAGCTTAATTGGCAAAGGAGCAGGACCATTTTGAATAGCTACCTCTATAGTCATATTGTTCTCATTCAAACCCATGGTAATTTATGCAAATGTTAAATGGTTATAGGTGAAAAAGTATCAATACAATTTTATTTTATTTTAAATTCTGTTTAGGAAGGTCATAAAAAACATGATACAAGACAATTTATTTCAAAAGAACAGAATAACATGTTTTGAGTTGTATTTATCTGTGCTTCATAGCAGAGGCTATGAAATCAACAGCAGATTTATATTCCCCTGCCCTACCACAGTCAACACATATATTTTATAGTAACAATGTAATGGAATATATACTAGAAAATAGAAAGGATCTTTTCCCCAACTGGCTATTGCTGATTGTCGCCAGTACTCATATGAGGAACGCACATGTATGGAGCCTTGGTTATTCTAGGAAAAAGTAATACTTTGAATCTGAGACAATCTGCACAATTTGTAGAGTTGTTTGGCAAAAATAGGTTAATTAAAAACCTTGGAATCTGCTCTGTCAAATAGGGTATAGCAATCAAAACGTCTGGCCTGCATGGACCTCTGTAGACTGATATGGAAGAAGTGCTATTTGGTAAGCTCCAGTCCCTTCTTTTCCAATGCATTGGTGCGTTTCTCAATGCACAATGCGCTGGTGCACTGGTCATCAGTCTCTTCATTCTCAATTGATAATCTTGTCACCCATCAGACTATTGTCAATTTAATATTTTCTTTAGGCCACATCTATTATTATTATAATATGTGTGAAATTTGTTTCAATATAGTTTAGGTGTAGTTTGGACGAGCTAGATGGGCAGGCAACTGTTGTCTTACAGTCAGAAAATACACTATAGTCTTCTTTTAGTATTTACAGTCTATCCGCTTCTGGATCAATCAATACATTTTCTGACTGATTACAATTTACATTTGGTGTCCTGAGGTTTCTTATGACCTATATTAACATAATAAATGCATTCATTCAGCAATTTATTATAGAATATTTACACAATTGAAATAACAACTGACTGTCATGGCCATTCTAGTAGTTATGGATTTCCGGCCCGCTGAGTGGTAATAGCTGAAGCAGTTTAAGCGCTAGAGCGAGTAGAATAATAATAATAACAATAATAATAATATGAGTATATAAGAAATCTAGAGTTGTGCTTTTAAGGAACCCACAACTTTAGGCTAAGATTATCGAAATAAACTTTCAAAAGGCCTGACACTGGAATGACACAAAATGGACAGCCCTTCAAAAACGTGTAGCCAAATAGCCTACAACGAGTGAAAACGTAGTCTATAGCTCAAGAAAGACTCGTGAATATTGCATAGACCTGTGTTGATATACAGAGGCTATTGCAACACTGTTGCAACTCGATTGGACATTATGTTTCACTTAATGGCAACATTGTGTCGGAGTGTGTAAAGCCGGGGCGGAAGGGCTTAATGGGGGAGGGGAGGAAACGAGGGCTGAAACAGATTGTAGGTGCACGTATAACAGAAACACTGACAACGAAGCCGGTCTCAATGGTTTCTCGGAGTGCCAAAGGTAGCCTAGTCGTCATTTTAACAAGACAACTTTTCGTGTATAGGCTGGCTAGTCTTATTGTAATTTTCATCCCATCCGAGATTTGACAGTCAGGAAAAAATGTACTTCATGTCTGTCTCTACACAGGGGTCATCTGCATAGGAACTGATCAACGCATAACGAATCAAACACAGTGGCCCAAAATCACTCAAATGATCCTCTACTGTCCTTAAAAGTAATTTTATCTAAAGATGGCGACGAAGATGTCACTTCATCGTAACCTGATTGCTGGGCGGTCACCAGAGAAAAATGACAGTTGAAGTAGGCTAGTAAAATGTAACCTTCGCTTCTCCAAATAGTTTATCTAAATTAGAGAGCTTGATCAGAAGGCATCCTAGTCTAGTTTACTCACGGATCTAATTTGTCATGAACATAAAGTTGCGATAGCGGTAGTGCCAAATATTTCAGTGACACAATAGAATTCCTCCTGACATGGCTTCTGTAGTCTAGCCTAGACTACACACACTCGATGCTGCGCAGGAAAAAAAACAAGTTGTGTCAACGTTTTCTGGACACACAAACTAGTGGACACGTTTCACACGAAGCATCCATCGTCGTCGACGTTTTTTTCACTGACCATCATTTAAAGGTGTTTGATTCATTAGGCTACGCGGAAAGAACATGGTCGTATCCAAGTCCAAGACGCGCGCCCTGGACACACCACACACAACAACAAGCTAGTAGCCTACACAGAAACGTATTTGTTCTTACCACTTTGGAAAACATTTACCAACAATGTAGGCTAACGACAATGTAATAAACCATACATACCTGGGTTAACATTATTGTATGTCCCTGTAGATCAAATGGGGAAAAAATGCTGAAGGTGATGTCTTGTCCTTGCTCGGCTGTAGCCTTGTCCTGATTATCTTCAAATCAACGAAATTGGGTCTTTTGAGAAAATAAATCTCAATGTTCTAGTTACAGCAAAACAGTCACCATTTAGCTACTAGACATTCTAGCATTGTCAGCAACTCCCCAGTTGAAATGTAGCCAATTATCTTGTTTGATCCACATTACAAAAAAAAAGATAAACCATTGATCAACTGTCCTAGAATGCAGACTAAGAGCGAAAATGCACTTTTCTTTGATAGTCTCTCTACGAACAATCGTCTTTGTCGCTGCGGCACAAGCTGTCCTACGATTAAAAAAGCAACGAAAAGTACACGGACTCGTAAGAGTGGGAGATCAGCGAAACGATCACATTCTATTAGTAACATCAGTTCCCCGAGCAGGACAGGACCGCTTTAACTCAAAAGAGGAGGGTAACTCCCGTTTCGTAGAGAGATTAACGAATACTATCTAAAATACCTATTGCAGTATAAGAAATATGCGTTATAAATTGTAGCACAATATTATAATACTATAACACATTTGCATGACACAACAAAAACAAAACTCACTACATACAGCGTATACTTTGTGCAACACCCCTGTCCAGTCAGATGGTTGAGGCCGTCCGTCATCTAGTAAGACACTGAACATTAGGACACATTATCATATCTCCCGCGAAAAGTCGGCAACCGATCATGGAGCACAGGCGCCCTCATTTATTTTGAACTGATTTGAAGCTCCATGTTTTTAGCTTTGAGAAAGTCACTATGTGACCATGTAAAATCATAATTTCATTATGTTTGTGTCAAATGGTTAGCCCTCTGCGCAAGTGTTTACAAATATTTCAACATTACCACATTGTGTTTGGCTAGACAAGCCTACTCTGGCACAAAAACATTCCATAGTCTACCAATAGATGGTGTTGTAACACTTGTTACCTGGGACAGTAAGCTCTCACTTTCTCACTTCTAAAAAGTGAAGGCAGGCCCAGTCCAGTTACACTGAAAATAAAGACAGAAAACCTGCACACAGAAAAAATGCCATTCCAGAGTTCTTTAATAGATCCTGCCCCGCAATAGATGACATGTCAGCTGCAACAGCCGTGGTCAGGTGATCAGACATATCCAGAAACAACCAAGAAAAGTCTGTGGGCCAGAAGACTCAGAAACCTCTACTGTGGCTTTGAACCCATATAGCATTCTTGGGAATAGAAAATGTTTTAAATAAACTAATAAATACTTGAGATATGACAAAACATAATTTATTTCATTGATGCTGAGTGCAGCTTTTTGTGTGTGTGTGTGTGTGTGTGTTACATGTCCCTCCCTCCCCAGGGGTCTCTGTATCTGTTGAAAGCTGATGACCTGACAGTGAAACTCTGTCAGGGGGTGTGGCATTGGTGTCACTTCCTCCCACTGGCCCCGCCCACTGTGGTACGCCTGGACTTCGTCAGTGATCTCATCAGGTGAGTAGTCTCCTCCCAGGATGTAGATTCGGTTGGCCACGCCCACGGCACCTACGTTGCACCGGGCACACTCGAACGACCCCTCCCCTTGCCACACACACGTCTCCAGACAGAAGCTGTACACCTGGACAGAACACAGAACACAGGAATTTCGTAGAATTGTTGTCAAGTTTGTTTTAATGACAAAGTCCCTATGTACTGTATCTATGTCAATAGGACCTGCCTGATTAAATGAAGGATAAAGAAATACAAAAATACTTGTAGATGGAGACATCCATCAATCAAATAATCAGTCAATCAATCAATCAATCAATCAACCAGTCAATCAACAAGTCAGTCACCTTATACATAGACAAGTCACAGAGGTGTAGAGTGTTGTTGACGGACACAGCCTTGACCAAGGTGGCGTGGAAAAACTGACCAAACTCTGCCAACAGGTGGCTCCACTGGTCAGAGACGGCATCGTAGCGCAGGAAACAGTCCAGCGAAGGGTTGAAGGAGTCCGATATCTCCACCGATGACCCCAATGTGTAGATTGCACTGGATTCTGGGTAATACGAGGCCACAGGGAGGGTTAGAGGTATGTGTGTATGTGTGTGGGGGTTTCTGTATTTTTGTGCGTGTATCTGTGTGCATTGTGTGTGTGTGTGTGTGTGTGTGTGTGTGTGTGTGTGTGTGTGTGTTTTGGCCAGGGGGTCGTAGTACTCCATCATCATCATCATCATCATCATCATCATCATCATCATCATAATTATCATAATTATCCTCATCCTCACCTCCATTAGGCTAGGAGCCCCATCCCTCTCTCCTCTGGTCCTCCCTCCTAGCACATACAGTCTGCCCAGGGTGGTGACACATGTGTGCATGGTACGGGGTTTCCCCATGTCTGGGGCACTGCTAAGGCTACACCACGTACCCACACACACCCTGCTGGTACACACACGCGCGCAGGCGCACACACACACACACACACACATTTTGACTGGTAAAATCCCCATTCATATGTGTGTGTGTGTGTGTGTGTGGGTGTGTGTGTGTGGGTGTGTGTGTGTGCGTGCGCCTGCGCGCGTGTGTGTACCAGCAGGGTGTGTGTGGGTACGTGGTGTAGCCTTAGCAGTGCAAGTAGCCGTGGCAACAGCCTCTGTCTGGTCTGGAGGTCGTGACTTGTCCACCTCAGCAATGACCTCACCGCCACCTCCTCACTGGGCACGCTCAGACTGTCCGACCCCAGACATACCTCCAGCACGCCCACCTGGGAGGACAGGAAGTAGATCAGTGTTTCCCAACATTAGTGTTTAAAAGCAATCCAATGCTTTTAAATCCTTTTAAATCCTTCAGGGGGAGTGGACCCATGCACACTTTTACATGGCTCACATAGTGACTATCTCAAAGCTAAAAGGAGTAGCTATCTACTTCAGTGTTTCCCAATTCTGGTCCTGGGGACCCAGAGGGGTGTATTTGCTCTAGCACTAACACACCTGATTCAATTTGATGATGAGTTGATATGTTGAATCAGGTGTGCTAGTGCTAGGGCCCTTTTATTTCAATGCACAAACTTATTTTTGTGAGTCTCAATAAATTACAATGGGAACCTATCAGAGTGGCTCCTCAACGGCATATCCAGGAAGTCTGGAGTCATTGAGAGGTCGTGAAAGTTCTGAACTACAAACTCATTGGCCCGCTGGAGGAGGGAGGCGGAACTGTATCCCTCGGTGAGGATCAATAGCATCAGGCAGTTGGAGAGCTCCAGGGTTCCGATCAGGAAGTCACTGCATGCTCTGAAGAGCACAGACACCTGGGAAACGGAAAACCGGTCAATATATCAACATCATCTCTCAAGTTTCTGAATGGATTTGACATACAGTATGTATCTGACCCAGATCTAGGGTATGTTGCAAATACTCTCCAGAGTAACAGAAGTCCAGGAACCAGCGTACGGCTTCCGGAGACTGGTTACCCAGGATTACCATCCCATCCCCACACTCACGCATGTCCAACTCAAACATGGCCCGCAGAACACCAGTCTCAACGTCAACAGTGAAGAGGCGACTCCGGGATGCTGACCTTCTAGGCAGAGTTGCAATGAAAAAGCCATATCTCAGACTGGCCAATAAAAAGAAAAGATTAAGATGGGCAGTCTGATATATGGCTTTTTCTTTGCAACTCTGCCTAGAAGGTCAGCATCTCGGAGTCGCCTCTTCACTGTTGACGTTGAGACTGGTGTTTTGCGGGTACTATTTAATGAAGCTGTCAGTTGAGGACCTGTGAGGCGCCTGTTTCTCAAACTAGACACTCTAATGTATTTGTCCTCTTGTTCAGTTGTGCACTGGGGCCTCCCACTCCTCTTTCTATTCTGGTTAGAGCCAATTTGCGCTGTTCTGTGAAGGGAGTAGTACACAGCGTTGTACGAGATCTTCAGTTTCTTGGCAATTTCTCGCATGGAATAGCCTTCATTTCTCAGAACAAGAATAGACTGACAAGTTTCAGAAGAAAGTTATTTGTTTCTGGCCCTTTTGAGCCTGTAATCAAACTCACAATTGCTGATGCTCCAGATACTCAACTAGTCTCAAGAAGGCCAGTTTTTATTGCTTCTTTAATCAGCACAACAGTTTTTAGCTGTGCTAACATAATTGCAAAAGGGTTTTCTAATGATCAATTCGCCTTTTAAAATGATAAACTTGGATTAGCAAACACAACGTGCCATTGGAACACAGGACTGATGGTTGCTGATAATGGGCCTCTGTACGCCTATGTCGATATTCCATGAAAAATCTGCCGTTTCCAGCTACAATAGCCATTTACAACATTAACAATGTCTACACTGTATTTCTGATCAATTTTATGTTATTTCAATGGACAAAAAAATTGCTTTTCTTTGGAAAACAAGGACATTTCTAAGTGACCCCAAACTTTTGAACGGTAGTGTAGCTGTAGATGAATCAACTGTCCATTAGGAGGTTCTGCCCAGCCTTAACCATGGAATCTCATACCTGAATATTTATATACAAATACTGTATTTTTCTTATAGTAATTGTCATTCTTTTTAAAACACAATGTGAAACCTATAAGAAAAACATTTATTTTGTAGAGGTTACATTCTCAGAACATAATTCATAATTCATATATTTCATATTTCAATTCAATATACACTGCTCAAAAAAATAAAGGGAACACTTAAACAACACAATGTAACTCCAAGTCAATTACACTTCTGTGAAATCAAACTGTCCACTTAGGAAGCAACACTGATTGACAATACATTTCACATGCTGTTGTGCAAATGGAATAGACAACAGGTGGAAATTATAGGCAATTAGCAAGACACCCCCAATAAAGGACTGGTTTTGCAAGTGGTGACCACAGACCACTTCTCAGTTCCTATGCTTCCTGGCTGATGTTTTGGTCACTTTTGAATGCTGGCGGTGCTTTCACTCTAGTGGTAGCATGAGACGGAGTCTACAACCCACACAAGTGGCTCAGGTAGTGCAGCTCATCCAGGATGGCATATCAATGCGAGCTGTGGCAAGAAGGTTTGCTGTGTCTGTCAGCGTAGTGTCCAGAGCATGGAGGCGCTACCAGGAGACAGGCCAGTACATCAGGAGACGTGGAGGAGGCCGTAGGAGGGCAACAACCCAGCAGCAGGACTGATACCTCCGCCTTTGTGCAAGGAGGAGCAGGAGGAGCACTGCCAGAGCCCTGCAAAATGACCTCCAGCAGGCCACAAATGTGCATGTGTCTGCTTAAACGGTCAGAAACAGACTCCATGAGGGTGGTATGAGGGCCTGACGTCCACAGGTGGGGGTTGTGCTTACAGCCCAACACCGTGCAGGACATTTGGCATTTGCCAGAGAACACCAAGATTGGCAAATTCACCACTGGCGCCCTGTGCTCTTCACAGATGAAAGCAGGTTCACACTGAGCACGTGACAGACGTGACAGAGTCTGGAGACGCCGTGGAGAATGTTCTGCTGCCTGCAACATCCTCCAGCATGACCGGTTTGGCGGTGGGTCAGTCATGGTGTGGGGTGGCATTTCTTTGGGGGGCCGCACAGCCCTCCATCTGCTCGCCAGAGGTAGCCTGACTGCCATTAGGTACCGAGATGAGATCCTCAGACCCCTTGTGAGACCATATGCTGGTGCGGTTGGCCCTGGGTTCCTCCTAATGCAAGACAATGCTAGACCTCATGTGGCTGGAGTGTGTCAGCAGTTCCTGCAAGAGGAAGGCATTGATGCTATGGACTGGCCCGCCCGTTCCCCAGACCTGAATCCAATTGAGCACATCTGGGACATCATGTCTTGCTCCATCCACCAACGCCACGTTGCACCACAGACTGTCCAGGAGTTGGCGGATGCTTTAGTCCAGGTCTGGGAGGAGATCCACATTTACATTTTAGTCATTTAGCAGACGCTCTTATCCAGAGCTACTTACAGTTAGTGAATGCATACATTATATATATATATTTTTTCATACTGGCCCCCCGTGGGAAACAAACCCACAACCCTGGCGTTGCAAACACCGTGCTTTACCAACATCCCTGCCGGCCAGTCCCTCCCCTACCCTGGGCCAATTGTGCGCCGCCCCATGGGTCTCCCGGTCGCAGCCGGCTACGACAGAGCCTGGATTCGAACCAGGATCTCTAGTGGCACAGCTAGCACTGCGATGCACAGTGCCTTAGACCACTGCGCCACTCGGGAGATCCCTCAGGAGACCATCCGCCACCTCATCAGGAGCATGCCCAGGCGTTGTAGGGAGGTCATACAGGCACATGGAGGCCACACACACTACTGAGCCTCATTTTGACTTGTTTTAAGGACATTACATCAAAGTTGGATCAGCCTGTAGTGTGGTTTTCCACTTTCATTTTGAGGGTGACTCCAAATCCAGACCTCCATGGGTTGATAAATTTGATTTCCATTGATAATTTTTGTGTGATTTTGTTGTTAGCACATTCAACTATGTAAAGAAAAAAGTATTTAATAAGATGATTTCATTCATTCAGATCTAGGATGTGTTATTTTAGTGTTCCCTTTATTTTTTTGAGCAGTGTATTTCATTATATGTTGTCTCAAATATGTCTTAACATATCTTTGTAGGAAATGCACCACAATCATGTATTCAATTGTGTATGTCATATAAGTTACACATATACAAATACACCACTGCCATATAAGGAAAAACATACAAACTCTTACTAGATCCTTATTAGATTACTTAGATATTTGTGCAAATAATGGTCATCTGCCATTCAAGATTCTTATTTGGGTCCTGTGCAAGCTCTATAGCATAGTAGTCTGTCTATAGATCATTCCTGTGGAGCTAGTTAGACAGTTTAGGAGTCAGGGAGAGAGATGGAAGATTGATTGACAGAGGGAGAGGGGTCTACCTTCCTATATCTCAACTGTCTGTGAACACACGGAGGCGGTGTCTACATGTCAGTTATTATTTGTCCCAAAGCAGTTCAGTAGCATTGCTTCGTGCCTTGTTTAGCATCATAGATAGAGTGAATCACAAAGCAGAATATTAGTTCGCTAACTGTTTATAATAGAGTTTTTGACTAGCACTAGCTCGGGAAAAAAAACGTTTTCTATCCATAGATTTGATGAGCTGATCAGATCCGATGTTTGTAAACAATGTTGTGCGCGTGCTACTAACGGTTTCAGCACCACCGACAGCTCTCTACCCTACCAGAAGAGCAAAGCCACGCGAGGATATGAAGTGAAAAATACTCAACGTATGACCTCGTTCCAAGATTTCAAGTATCAAGTATGTTTTGTTGTCTCAAATCATTATTATTTAATCAGGTAATGTTGCACGCATTGAGCCCTGCAGATAACATAGACATAGTCTATCTTCATGTGAAAATAGCATGCTTAATTGGGTTTATGCTCCAACCGGGTTTGATATCAATGAAGACTCACTCATTAACTTGACACACCCAACAATGAATGTGGAATAAAACATGTATTTATTATTCCTCCTGCCAAGTCAACTAGTGGAGAAATGATACAACTAATACAAAACACCTATACTGTACATATATACACCAGTGAATCTGTAGATCTGTTAGAATGGTAAGAATTATAGAAATTAGACAAGGAGATGAACAGCTATAGACTGTTGGGAAGTGCTCATCTAGTAGATCAGATCACATCTTGGTACTCCATCCCCCTGCCGGTACTTCCTCCTTCTGTGTTCTCTGATTCCATGAAACCCCTGGGCGTTCACCCTCTTCCTCTTCCTGCTCCTCCTTCTCTTCCAAGACCGCCACCACCACGTCTTCATTGATGATGTCATCGGGGTTGTCGTAGCCGCCCTCCTCCCAGCCCACAGAGGGGGTGATGGGGCCTGCAGTGGCAGGGGTCGTTGCCACAGCATTGAAGGAGACAAAGCCCACCAGGATGATCACCAGAGACACAATGTACAGACCTGAGAACTACACACACAAGAGCGACTTACAGTTAGTGAGTGCATACATTTTCATACTGGCCCCCCGTGGGAAACGAACCCACAACCCTTGTGTTGCAAGCGCCATGCTCTACCAACTGATTTATTTTCAGTACTAAGATGCTTTAAGATAAGGGCAGCTATGTCCTGTGATCAGGACAGCTTTATCTCTGTTTCTGGGGACTGATCTTATCACTACTGTCTCCTTGATCTCACAGAAATTAGATTAGACTAGTTTGACAGAGATTACAGCGAGTACAGACATAGTATAGCAGCAATCAATCTATTATCCAGCTATGGAGTCATCAAATCATTGATTAACTCATCTCTTTATCTGTTTTCCAAAACACAATCAGTAACTGAACTGTCAAATGGCTCAACCTACTGTACCTACTATCCTCAGTGTTTCTGCTGCTGCTGTGTGTGTGTGTGTGTGTGTGTGTGTGTGTGTGTGTGTGTGTGTGTGTACTAACCGTGTATTGAAAGAGAAACAGGCCACAGAAGAGGCTGAGGAGGTCTGCAGTGAGCAGGGAGAGGTTGACTGCTGTAGCACTGGTCTTCTTGACCACTATGGGCATACAGCTGTAGAGGGTGTACATACACAGGGCATAGCCAGCAAACAGCAGGCCTGGGGGGATAAGAATTATACATGATAAAATGAACATACTATACTATGCATTGTTGTTGCTTGTTTTCCCAGAGTATGATAGACAACAGCATTTCTAATATTTTTTACTTGGCTCTCTGATCTAAGGTGCATCTGTCTTTTAAATATTTTATTATGTGTTCATATCTGAATATTATTGATCCTTGTCTTGTCTTTTGTAACCATTGTTGATGCTTGTGGTGATAAAACAATTTCCCAAGTTGGAATCAACAAAGTACTACTACTCTACTCTACTCTCCCTACATACAGCTGTACTGGGTGTAGTCAGAGAACAATAGGCCTGAACAGAAAACACCTACAGTCATTATACAGGGCAGAAAGTATTATTAACAAGGAAGATCAACTGTTGCAGCTCCCATAAAACACAAGATAAAGAGCAGCAAAGAGCTGTATGTGGAAACTGTACTTCAGCAAGCTGACACAGCATACATTCTGTACTCTCTGTAACCTTGCCACCACCACATCTGTAACCCTAAGAGAGCGGTAATAACCGGTGGCCTGGGGTGGTCTAGTCGTTAACACTACCGAATCTGCGGACCCGCAGCTACTTTGTAACAAACCCTCTCCTTATTTCCTTCTTCTACACTGTCCTATCTCTTCAATAAAAAAACATACAAAAATGTCAACAAATATACAGGTAACTGACAAAATTCTCAATCCCTCATTTACTCAAGTGTTTCCTTTATTTTGGCAGTTACCTGTATATTTTGTTTTATGTGGTACTAACCGATTCTCCAGTCCCATTGGATGTTTTTCACGTTGTTATGCTCCAGAACACCCCTGTAGGAACACAGCAGACCACTCAAATCAACCACATTCCCATTCTACTACCTTCTCCCCAAACATGCACACACAACACACATCCACGCGCACACACACGTAAACACACACACTTACAGCTGTATGCCACTGATGAGTGTGCCGAACAGGCCGACCATGCCTAGGAACTCCCCTCTGCTGAGGTGTTTGACGGTGTACTCCTGACACACGTTAGACACAGCATATAGACTGGCACTGAGCAGGACCAAGCCATCACCTAGCAGAACGTCTGAGGCTAGGAGAGAGGGAGGAGAGGAGAGAGGGAGGAGAGGAGAGAGGGAGGAGAGAAGAGAAGAGAGGGAGGAGAGAAGCGAGATAGGAGAGGAGGATGAGGAAAGAGATGAGGTTAATATGTTACTTTTTATTATGATATGAACTGAGAGATTGAATGAAAGAATTAATGAATTAATGAATTAATGGAGTGGGTTCTTACTGGATCCCAGGTCTCGTCCAGCCAGTAGGTCAGCTCCCACCATGGCCCCCACCCCCAGCAGACAGACACACACAGAGACGTAGTGGATGGGTCTGTAGCACGTCTTCAGGAACCAGCAGGACAGTATCATCAACACAGGGATCACAAAACAGTCCAGCAGCTGGAAGACAGAGAGACACACCAGAATAGTCACATACATTGACATAACTCAGCACACGCACGCATACACACATGCATGCAGGCAGGCACGCAAGCTCGCACACATAGACATACACACACACACCATCTCGTAGTTCTGACCTGTATACTGGTGAGTGTAGTGTACTGGTAAGCTTTAACCACTGTGTAGTTAGCCTCGACGTCCACCAAGCCTACTAGGAGATACTTCCACCACCTCTTCTTTAAAATCTGAAACATATTGCCATCCCCTACAGTACGTTAGTAGAGGGTAGTCTGGAGGTTATTGCAATGCTACACAATTATAACATTTTATAGAATTGACAACTGTACTATTCTGATGAAGAGCACCCTAGGGTGGTGTGTGTGTGTGTGAGAGAGAGAGAGAGAGAGAGTCTACCTGTTCTTCAGAGCAGCACATTGGTGTGCGTGAGTGTGTGTGTGTGTGTGTGTGTGTGTGTGTGTGTGTGTGTGTGTGTGTGTGTGTGTGTGTGTGTGTGTGTGTGTGTGTGTGTGTGTGTGTGTGTGTGTGTACCTGTTCTGAACAGCAGAGCGGTGGTGTAGGTGAGGCAGAGCAGTGTGTAGCTCATAAAGCTCTGGAGCATGGGCGCGTCCACGTGGTAGTCTGAAGCCAGGTACTGGGATGTTACTGCTGTGCCGCAGATGAGAGCAGCCAAACCCTGACCCATGGCTACTGTCTTCACCAGCTGCCTGTTAGGACAAAGCATAAGTGAAGAGGAAATTCAGCAACACTTGGAAGACAGTGGACGTTGATAAAGCTGCGTCTTTATTGGTAAAACCAACATGTTTCGGCCCTCTAGCCTTCATTAGGGTTTTAACACAACTCAGTCCAAGCAGTTACTGTATGCTAGCTGCCAGGGACATACACAACTACTGGACAGTGGACATCCTCCATTCTTGGACATTGAAAGACCTTCACTATGTCACTATCTGTCCCAAATGACACCGTATTCCCTATATAGTGCTCTACTTTCAATCAGAGCCCATAGGGAGCTGGTTAAAAGTAGTGCACTATATAAAGGATAGGGTGCCATATGGGATCCAGATAATCACTGTTATAACAAATCTCTCTCTCTCTCTCTCTCTCTCTCTCTCTCTCTCTCTCTCTCTCTCTCTCTCTCTCACACACTCTCTCACACTCTCTCTCTCACTCTCTCTCACACTCACTCCAGTTGAGTTTTCTCTCCCCACAGACTCACCATGTAAACACTTCTTTAGGGTTGAACTTCAGAAGCTTCCGGATAATAAGACATTTTCTATCATCATTGTCGCTGGGGTCTATAGCTATAATTCCCTCTGGCTCCTTCTCAGCCATGTTGTCTCACTGTAACAGTGGGGTCCTGGGATGGGGAATACACTGCTGTGTGCTGCCTGTACTGAGGCTTTTAAATGTCTACTGTGCTGCCTGGGCTGAATGATTAACAGTGTTCTCTAATCAAAGTGCAAAGATCACTTAGTGCTTGCAGATGATAGGTGTTATAGTAGTGATGAAAGTGTGTGGGACAAAGTGGGTGAACGTGGGGGGGGGGGGGGGGGGTTTAAACTGTGGGAGGGGGGGTGGGGGGTATTTAGATCAGTGATTACTTCATTTCAGCCAGGTAATTACTCCATCCAAGGAAGGAAAGTGGGAGGAAAGGCTTGAATGAATGAATGAATGAATGAAAGAAAGAAAAAAGAAAGAAAAAGAAAGCCAGACGAAACACGACAGAACTAACGAAAGAAAGAAATCACGCAGAAAGAAGAAGAAATAAAGAAGCTAGAGCAGGAGTAAGGCTGTGTGGATTCTAACAGGGCCCATATCCCTTTTCTATGTTGCTCACTTGTCTCCAAGTTACATAGCTACTGTGCATACCATGCACTGACGTGTAATAGAACTCAGTGGTTCCATGGCAGTCAAAAGCTAAGTTTAGCACTGGCCCAGCCCGGGCAACTGTGGCCTACTGTATTTACTTTCCAACCCCTGCAAGATCCTAGTTGGTGCAGTGTCTTACGTGCATTTAGTAGACAAAGAGCAAAGAGCAGCACATAAAAAGGGCAGTTAAAATGTCATGACACAATACTGTAAACTGGACAAATATCTAACCTTTTTCTCTGTGTCTATTTTTAAGTCGGATGCTACGTTACCTAATTCCCTCCAACCACACACTCGCGAGACTGTGCGAGGAGGGCACAAGTTGGAGGAAACATGGCGACGTCTAATTTGTTAAAGGTAAGAGCCTCTGCACTTCAGCATTTTACCCGGATTTGAACACGTAATTATGTGCCCCGATGCCCATAGTCTGGATGTAAATAAATTAATGAATGAGTTAAAAACAAACCCGACCACGGACACTGTTTGTCAGGTTTTTTTGTTGTTGCACTTAAGGCAACAGAAAGGTCTCTCTTATTAGTTAGCTAGCAAGGGATGCTAAGACAAGCTGGCTAACGTTAGCTAGCCAGCCATCTGGCTAACGTGCAGTACAGTTGTCACCGGCATAAGCATATCGTCTTTTAAATTGACAGTTAATCAATAATATCATACACAGTTCATTGTAGTAACAGTTGTCTGTCCACATTAAACTGTAAGAGAATATGCAGCAGGCTTGTCCAGGTGGTGGAACAATCAGCTGAATTGGCAAGCTAACATTTGCTCTGTTTGACAGCTCTCCCAGCACCGTAGTTACTAGCTAGTTAACTGTACATACAGTCTTGACTGTTACACTGTTGACAATGTAGGCTGTAGCTAAGGTTTTAGCGGAAGCAGGATTTATTTTAGCGCATACAGTCTTGACTGCTAACTACAGATTGATCAGAGTAGGGTGCAACTAACGTTACACTGTTGACTGTAGTCTGTAGCTAAGGTTTTAGTTGAAGCAGGATTTATTTTAGCGAACTGAACCATTGTAACGTTATGTTTTAAAATAATATAATAGAAAACTATTAAACATACAATTTGATTCAGAACAGCGTCAGTAGCAAGTTACTGAGTAATGGGTTAGGAAGTAGGAACAGTGTTGTTCTCGGTCTCTCTCCAGAATTAATGGCCCTAGGTACTGGGTAGTGTGGTGGTGAGTAGTGTCATCTCTCTGCAGAATAAACACTCACTGTAGTCTGAGATACTAATTAGTAGGTAGTAACAGTAATTATTTCAGTTTCTTTCCAGAATAATGTCCCATTGCAGTTTGACAGTAGTTGTAGTGAGTACTGGGTCATATTCACTAGGCACGGAACAGAAGAAAACAGGCCGAAACAGAGTGACTACTTGAAATTGTCCAAAAATAAATGCTTGTTTTCATTTTCTGTTGCAAAACATTTGCTACGGTGTGGACTAATGAATACGACCTTGAGTAGTAACAGTATAGTAGTAGTGAGTAGTAACAGTAGTATCATCTCTCTCCAGAATAAAGGCTCCTTGCAGTTTGAGGACAAGTGGGACTTGATGAGGCCCATCGTCCTCAAGCTGCTGAGACAGGAGGCTGTCACCAAGCAGCAGTGGTTCGACCTCTTCTCGTAAGACACACACTGCATCACACCACACCAAACTGCACAGCAGACACACACACACACATACTGCACCGCACACACACACACACAAAAACGCTTGTTATTGTGTGTTGCAGAGATGTCCATGCTGTGTGTCTGTGGGATGATAAGGGCCCAGCTAAGATCCACCAGGCCCTCAAAGAAGACATCCTAGACTTCATCAAACAAGCTCAGAACGTAAGTGGAACTGTGAGTTACAGAGGAAGGGTTTCGGTAATGGTTGAAATCACATTTGAGGTTGGAATGTGCCGTTCTTCACACACACACACACACACACACACATACACACCTTTCCAGTACAGTGATAACAGTTGTAGGCAAGAGGCTGACTCTTAAACCCCTGAATCCTGACCTCTACCTATGCAACCTGTCTCTGACCTAACCTCTGACCTGTGTTTCCATGGCAGCGTGTGTTGAGTCACCAGGATGACACAGCATTACTAAAGGCCTACATTGTGGAGTGGAGGAAGTTTTTCACGCAGTGTGACATCCTGCCCAAACCCTTCTGTCAGCTGGAGATCACACTGATGGGGAAGCAGGGCAGCAACAAGAAGTCTAACGTTGAGGACAGCATCGTACGCAAGGTGAGGAGAGGGGGAGGAGAGGGGAATGAGAGAGATGGGGAGGGAGGGGGGAGAGGAAGGAGAGAAGCAGGGCAGCAACAAGAAGTCTAATGTAGAGTACAGCATCGTACGCTAGGAAGGAGAGGTGTGAGAGGGAAAGAGGGAAGGATGAGGAAGGGGAGAGATAGACAATGGTGGTATGCATCAACTGTCTTGTCCTGCTTACTCTCTCTCTCTCTCTCCCCCCCCCGCCTCTCCTCTAGTTGATGTTGGACACATGGAATGAGTCGATATTCTCCAACATAAAGAGCCGTCTTCAGGACAGTGCTATGAAGCTGGTTCACGCTGAGAGGCTGGGAGAGGCTTTTGACTCACAGCTGGTTATAGGAGTAAGAGAATCATACGGTAGGACACACACACTGAGTGGCTAACATCCACACATTTTATATGGGACGTAATGGTGAAGTATGGTATGTTTTCGGTATATTGACAAAGTGTGTGTGTGTTTGTGTGTGTGTAGTCAACCTGTGCTCTAACCCTGAAGACAAGCTCCAGATCTACAGAGATAACTTTGAGAAGGCCTACCTGGACTCAACCGAGAGGTTCTACAGAACACAGGCCCCATCATACCTACAGCAGAACGGAGTCCAGAACTACATGAAATATGTAAGGACTGCTCTCGATGTGTGTGTATGTTTGTGTGTTGATGTGACAATGTCTCTCAGTGACTGTGTATACATTCACTGACTGTGTGCGTGTCTTGCAGGCAGACACAAAGCTAAGAGAAGAGGAAAAGAGGGCAGTTCGATACCTTGAGACTCGTCGTGAATGTAACTCTGTCCAAGCAGTGAGTAGGCAGACTGTTTACCTATGAGGCTGTATAGACTGGTTTAAACTCATATTCACAGTCGACAGATGATGATGTCATGTAGATCAATGTTAGTCTCTGTTGTCTCTCTCCAGCTGATGGAATGTTGTGTGAACTCTCTGGTGACGTCGTTTAAAGAAACCATCCTGGCCGAATGCCCCGGCATGATCAAACGCAACGAGACAGACAGTGAGTAACACGTTACATTACTACTGTTACCCACTAACCTTGGGACAGGTTGTAGAAGAGGGTCCTTCTTTGTGTGACGTTAATGTCCTTCCCCCTGCAGAGCTCCACTTGATGTTTTCCCTGATGGATAAAGTTCCTAGTGGGATAGAGCCCATGCTGAAAGACCTGGAGGATCACATCATGAATGCTGGGCTGGCTGATATGGTGGCTGCTGCAGAGACTATCACTTCTGTATGTACACACACACACACACACACACATACAGAGCCATGTCGTACTATACTTGTGAGGACTTTTTGGGGACCAACAATAATTCCTATTCAAAATTCTATTTTCCTTAACCCCTAAACCTAACCGTAACGCCTAACCCTAATTTGAACCCTAACCCTAACCCTAAACCTAACCCCTAAGCCTAAAATGTCCTAATTTCTCTGAATTTTAGTTGGTTTACTATTCTTGTGAGGACTTCTGGTACTAGTAAGTATAGTAAAACATGTATACACACACACACACACACACACTCAAAATCAGCTAGTAAATCTGTATGTTTCTCTTCTTATTCCTGTGTGTGTAGGACTCTGAGAAGTACGTGGAGCAGCTGCTGACGTTGTTTAACCGTTTCAGTAAACTGGTGAAGGAGGCTTTTCAGGACGACCCTCGATTCCTCACCGCCAGAGACAAGGTACACATACATACATACATACATACATACATACATACATACATACATACAGTGGGGAGAACAAGTATTTGATACACTGCCGATTTTGCAGGTTTTCCTACTTACAAAGCATGTAGAGGTCTGTTATATTTATCATAGGTACACTTCAACCGTGAGAGACGAAATCTAAAACAAAAATCCAGAAAATCACATTGTATGATTTTTAAGTAATTAATTTGCATTTTATTGCATGACATAAGTATTTGATACATCAGAAAAGCAGAACTTAATATTTGGTACAGAAACCTTTGTTTTGCAATTACAGAGATCATACGTTTCCTGTAGGTCTTGACCAGGTTTGCACACACTGCAGCAGGGATTTTGGCCCACTCCTCCATACAGACCTTCTCCAGATCCTTCAGGTTTCGGGGCTGTCGCTGGGCAATACGGACTTTCTGCTCCCTCCAAAGATTTTCTATTGGGTTCAGGTCTGGAGACTGGCTAGGCCACTCCAGGACCTTGAGATGCTTCTTACGGAGCCACTCCTTAGTTGCCCTGGCTGTGTGTTTCGGGTCGTTGTCATGCTGGAAGACCCAGCCACGACCCATCTTCAATGCTCTTACTGAGGGAAGGAGGTTGTTGGCCAAGATCTCGCGACACATGGCCCCATCCATCCTCCCCTCAATACGGTGCTGTCGTCCTGTCCCCTTTGCAGAAAAACATCCCCAAAGAATGATGTTTCCACCTCCATGCTTCACGGTTGGAATGGTGTTCTTGGGGTTGTACTCATCCTTCTTCTTCCTCCAAACACGGCGAGTGGAGTTTAGACCAAAAAGCTCTATTTTTGTCTCATCAGACCACATGACCTTCTCCCATTCCTCCTCTGGATCATCCAGATGGTCATTGGCAAACTTCAGACGGGCCTGGACATGCGCTGGCTTGAGCAGGGGGACCTTGCGTGCGCTGCAGGATTTTAATCCATGACGGCGTAGTGTGTTACTAATGGTTTTCTTTGAGACTGTGGTCCCAGCTCTCTTCAGGTCATTGACCAGGTCCTGCCGTGTAGTTCTGGGCTGATCCCTCACCTTCCTCATGATCATTGATGCCCCACGAGGTGAGATCTTGCATGGAGCCCCAGACCGAGGGTGATTGGCCGTCATCTTGAACTTCTTCCATTTTCTAATAATTGCGCCAACAGTTGTTGCCTTCTCACCAAGCTGCTTGCCTATTGTCCTGTAGCCCATCCCAGCCTTGTGCAGGTCTACAATTTTATCCCTGATGTCCTTACACAGCTCTCTGGTCTTGGCCATTGTGGAGAGGTTGGCGTCTGTTTGATTGAGTGTGTGGACAGGTGTCTTTTATACAGGTAACGAGTTCAAACAGGTGGAGTTAATACAGGTAATGAGTGGAGAACAGGAGGGCTTCTTAAAGAAAAACTAACAGGTCTGTGAGAGCCGGAATTCTTACTGGTTGGTGGGTGATCAAATACTTATGTCATACAATAAAATGCAAATTAATTACAAAAAAATCATACATGATTTTCTGGATTTGTTTTAATTCCGTCCTCACAGTTACCTATATAAATATACAGACTTACATGTGAAGAAAATGCAAAACGAGTGATCAATACTTGTTCCCACACTATACATACATACATACATACATACATACATACAGTGAGAGAAAAGGAGGTGAAGGGAGCAGACGGAATGGACGGGTGGAGAGAAAAGGAGGATGGACGGAGGAGGAGTAAAAGGGGGGGAGAGCGGGAGGTTTGACAGTTCTGTGTTTCTCTCCAGGCCTACAAAGCTGTGGTGAACGATGCCACCATCTTTAAACTAGAGCTGCCCCTCAAACAGAAAGGGTGAGACAAACCTGAGTTTTATGTTTATATTATATTCCTTGGTTATGGGTCAATATGGCTGCTGGTCCACTCATCACGGAACATTAGCTGCATCCCGATTCTCCACCCTTTTCCTGAGGGGTGCATTTTCACACTCCATATCATGGATTAAAAGCATATGATTTGTGTAACCATTGTCTGGAGGTAGTTTCCATTATTGTCAAATCCATGCAAGAAAGTGTGCACATGTAGACTTCGGAAAAAGGGTGGAGAATCGGGACGCAGCCATTGACTTGAATGTGGATGCCTGTTCTAGTAACTATATTTCTGTGTGTACTACTAATCTGTGTGTGTGTCTTTACAGGGTAGGTCTGAAGACCCAGCCTGAGTCGAAGTGTCCAGAGCTGCTAGCTAACTACTGTGACATGCTGCTGAGGAAAACCACCCTAAGCAAGAAACTCACGTCAGAGGAGATAGAACTCAAACTCAAAGAAGTGGTGAGGACTCTCACCTAGTACTGTAGAATGAGCCCACGATTCTCAATCCTTGGATTGGTGTAAGCATTGGCTGTTGTGAAATCCATGACGGGAAGTCTGCACTTTCAGAGAAGGGTGTAGAATTAAGAAGGATCTGTATTCTTATATCCTGTTAACCCCCCCCCCCCCTGCTGGTGTTGAAGTACTGTGCCTTTGGAAAGTATTCAGACCCCTTGACTTTTTCCACAATTTGTTACGTTACAGCCTTATTCTGAAATTCATCTACACACAATACCCCATAATGACAAAGCAAAAATTGGTTTCAGAATTTTTTGCTAATTTATAAAAATAAGAAAAACGGAAATATCACATTTACATAAATATTCAGACCCTTTACTCAGTACTTGGTTGAAGCACCTTTGGTAGTGATTACAGCATCGAGTCTTCTTGGGTATGACGCTACAAGCTTGGCACACCTGTATTTGGGGAGTTTCTCCCATTCTCTGAAGATCCTCTTACGCTCTGTGAGGTTGGATGGGGAGCGTTGCTGCACAGCTATTTTCAGGTCTCCAGAGATGTTCGATCGGGTTCAAGTCTGGGCTCTGGCTGGGCCACTCAAGGACATTCAGAGACCTTATCCCGAAGCCACTCCTGTGTTGTCTTGGCTGTGTGCTTAGGGTCGTTGTCCTTTTGGAAGGTGAACCTTCGCCCCAGTCTGAGGACCTGAGCGCTCTGGAGCAGGTTTTCATCAAGGACCTCTCTGTACTTTGCTCTGTTAATCTTTGCCTCGATCTTGACTAATCTCCCAGTCCCTGACGCTGAAAAATATCCCCACAGCATGATGCTGCAACCACCGTGCTTCACCGTAGGGATGGTGCCAGGTTTCCTCCAGACATGACGCTTGTCATTCAGCCCAAAGAGTTCAATCTCGGTTTCATCAGACTAGAGAATCTTGTTTATCATGGTCTGAGAGTCTTTAGGTGCCTTTTGGCAAACTCCAAGCGGGCTGTTATTTGCTTTTTACTGAGGAGTGGCTTCCGTCTAGCCACTCTACCATAAAGGCCTGATTGGTGGAGTGCTGCAGAGATGGTTGTCGTTCTGAAAGGTTCTCCCATCTCCATAGAGTAACTCTAGAGCTCTGTCAGAGTGACCATCGGGTTCTTGGTCACCTTCCTGACCAAGGCCCTTCTCGCCCCGATTGCTCAGTTTGGCTGGGCGGCCAGCTCTAGGAAGAGTCTTGGTGGTTCCAAACTTCGTCCATTTAAGAATGATGGAGGCCACTGTGTTCTTGGGGACCGTCAATGCTGCAGACATTTTTTGGTACCCTTCCCCAGATCTGTGCCTCGACACAATCCTGTCTCGGAGCTCTACGGACAATTCCTTCGACCTCATGGCTTGGTTTTTGCTCTGACATGCACTGTCAACTATGGGACCTTGTCTAGACAGGTGTGTGCCTTTTTAAAATCAGGTCCAATCAATTGATTTTACCACAGGTGGACTCCAATCAAGTTGTAGAAACATCTGAAGGATGATTAATGGAAACAGGATGCATCTGAGCTCAATTTCGAGTCTCATAGCAAAGGGTCTGAATACTTATGTAAATAAGGTATCTGTTTTTTTATTTGAAAAAAATATCAAAGCTTTCTAAAAACCTGTTCTCGCTTTGTCATTATGGGGTGTTGTGTGTAGATTGCTTAGTATATATTTTTTTTATCCATTAAAGAATAGAGCTGTAACGTAACAAAATGTGGAAAAAGTCATGGGGTCTGAATACTTTCCGAAGGCACTGTATGTAAAGAATAAGGATGTGTTTTCTCTCCCTCCCTCCCTTCTCTCTCTAGTTGCTGGTATTGAAGTATGTTCAGAATAAAGATGTGTTTATGAGGTACCATAAAGCCCACCTGACCAGAAGACTGATCCTGGACATCTCAGCCGACAGCGAGATAGAAGAGAACATGGTGGAGTGGCTCAGGGTAAGAACACACTCACACACACACTCTTTCTCTCTCTCTATATATATCCCCTTTTGATTTAGTTTTTTCCCCTGGTTATGTGTGTGTGTGTAGGAGGTGGGGATGCCTGCAGACTATGTGAATAAGCTGGCCAGGATGTTCCAGGACATTAAAGTATCGGATGATCTCAACCAGGTCTTCAAGGAGATGCACAAACACAACAAGCTGGCTTTGCCAGGTAACACACACTAAGACCAATGGCCTGAGCTTGTGTGATTATTAACCACAGCCTCAATACTCCACCTAATGGTGTACCATAGTAATACACTAATACTCTCTCTGTGCCTGTCTCTCTTTCTCTGTCTCTCTGTTTCTGTGTCTCTCTCTCTCTCTCTCCAGCTGACAGTGTGAATATAAAGATCCTGAATGCGGGGGCGTGGTCGAGGAGCAGTGAGAAGGTGTTTGTGTCTCTGCCTACTGAGCTGGAGGATCTGATCCCAGAGGTAGAAGACTTCTACAAGAGGAACCACAGCGGGAGGAAACTACACTGGCACCACCTCATGTCCAATGGCATCGTGAGTGGAAGATGTGCACGCACACACACACACACACACACACAGCAAACACACACACTCAGAAACATAATCCGTGTAAAAACTACTATCACCTCATGTCCAACGACATAGTGATCTCCCTCTTCTGCCCTGTGTGTGTGGGGGGGGGTGCCTGTGTGTTTTTGTGTGTGCGTGCGTGTTTAGATCACCTTCAAGAACGAAATGGGTCATTATGACCTGGAGGTCACGACCTTTCAGCTGGCTGTCCTATTCGCCTGGAACCAGCGGCCGCGGGAGCGAATCAGCTTCGAGAACCTTAAATTGGCCACCGAGCTGCCCGATGCTGAGCTACGACGCACACTCTGGGTAACACACACACACACACACACACACACACACATACACACTCTCTGGGATAGAAAAATGAAAGCACACACGCCAATATAAACGCTATTCATACACAGAGAAGAGACTGAGAGAACAAACTAATTACCTCTCTTTCCTTCTCTTTCTCTCCCTCTCTCTCCGCTGTCTCCTCTCTGTCTTTAGTCTCTGGTAGCGTTCCCTAAGCTGAAGAGACAGGTGTTGTCCTATGAGCCTTCAGTCTCCTCCCCTAAAGACTTCACAGACAGCACCCTGTTCTACGTCAACCAGGACTTCTCTCTCATGTACGTAGCTACAACAATAGCTTTGAACCCACTGTTAGCCCGCTGAGCTTAATAGAGGCATTGAATGCACCTAGGGTGGCTAAATTCTGTTAACTTTCCCCAAATTCTCAGGTTTTCAAAAAAGTACTAATTGGAGCATTCCAGATGTAACTGCTTATTCCATCCTGATTCCAGGAATCTTCCCACAGGGATTTCTTGAAAATCTGGGATTTTTGGGAAAGATGGCAGAGTTTTGCAACCTTAATTGCACCTCACTGCAACAGTTGTTGGCTTACCATGTTGATTCATGTTCTATTTAGTTAATGTAACTGTATGTATTCTAATGCATCAGTCATTTTGGGGAAGTTTCAATGTTGATGAAAGCTTTGTTGTCATGGTTTCCTACTGAGGACCAGGGTGGAATGTTGAGGAGCAGTTTCAGGTGTGATGCTGATCAGATATTGAGTTCTTTAGTCTCTGTTTCTCAGTAAAAACTCCAAGGTCCAGAAAAGAGGCAAGATTAATCTGATTGGTCGACTGCAGCTGACCACGGAGCGAATGAGAGAGGAGGAGAACGAGGGCATCGTCCAGCTGAGAATATTAAGAACCCAGGTAACATTACACATTTTAAAGGTCCGATTTAAGGAACCTGAAGTTTCAGCACTTTTGTTTCCCAAAGACTTTAATGGAGCACTACTGCCTTCCACCCTGCAAGCCTTGAGTGAAAACTTGAAAAACTAGGTTTGATCAATCATAACAATACCAGTTGAGTGTGTGCCGCGACGTTGAGTAAAGATATAATGCTGTACGTTGTTTGACCCACCCACCCCCCTCCAGGAGGCCATCATCCAGATTATGAAGATGAGGAAGAGGATCAGTAATGCCCAGCTACAGACAGAGCTGGTAGAGATCCTCAAGAACATGTTCCTGCCCCAGAAAAAGATGATCAAGGAACAGATCGAGTGGCTCATCGAACACAAATACATAAAACGGGACGAGACGGACATCAACACCTTTATCTACATGGCATAGAACCCCTTACCTGGACTGGAACCACCTACCTACCTACCGCTAGACCTGGCTGGACCCTCGCTGCTGCAGGAGGAAGAGGAAATGCAGGAAGAGGAGGAGGGACCAGTGGTTGTTTCAGAAGAAGAGGAAGGAGAATGTCACTCTGCGGCCGAGGGGGGGCGGGGGGTGGCGGTTGGTTGGTTGGTTGTATGAGATAGATGGTGTAGTCTTCAGACTGTGGTGCGGACAGGAGGACAGGAGGACAGTGGGGCTGACTGACTGACAGTCTCAGTATCACAGTAGAGACATTATTAAATAAATAAAATCTCCCTGCCTTACCCTCCTTACGCAGTCCGCACAGAGACAGACAGACAGGAGGACTAACGGACTAGTAGTCTATATCATTATGGAGTGGACACGGAGAGGAGTGTATTTTGCCAAATGTACATTGTGTGTGTGTGTATATGTGTGGCTGCACCTTGACAGCTTGCTGCTCTGTGGAAGTCTTGCAATCATCTGAGGTCCCGTCACGTGTGTGTGTGCACATGTCTCACGTTTTCCTTTATCTCCATCCCCCCAACAGCCACACCCCTCAGAGAGGATCATGACTCCTCACATATCAGCCAATCGCTGGGTGAGAACAAACGAGAACATCAGCACTTTTCTGTGTTTGAATGGCTTTATACTGTATATCAATTTCATTCTCCTTTTCAATGCTCATCTTTATTTTTGTGAACACTTGTGTGTTGTTGTGTGTATCGTTTGTTAAATGCTGCACAGCGTCGTCCAATCGATCGAAGTCACAAAGCTCTCTAGCGATCTTTGATTCTCCTCTTCTTTCTCGCTCTCCCCCTACCCATAGCCAGTGCAGGACAGGACGTGACAGGTGTATTGTTGTCATACCATGAGGGGGTGTCATGACTGTTCATGACCCAGGTTTCTTCCCAAATGCCACCCTATTCCATAGGTACTGCATTACTTTTGACCAGAGCCCTATGGGGGCAAAAAGTAGTTTCAATTCCCTATAAAGCGAAAAGTAGTTTATATTCCCTGTATAGGAAAAAGTAGTTTATATTCCCTACTAAAGGAAAAGTAGTTGATATCTCCTATATACGGAATAGGGTGCCCCAGTAAAATCCCTCCAGTGCAATAGCTAGATAGCCCCTCCTACTAGATCACTTCCTGTGGTGAGAGGTCATGTTGCTAAAGCAACGGCACTGCAGTGTTGCTATTAATGTACCCTACCCAACGCCTTTTACAGAAGACTGTGTGTTGCAGTAGGAAATTTGTGCGGAGGGGTGAGGATGGAAGAAGAAGAAAAGTGTTGGGGCCGTGTGGGGCTGACTTATTTATTTATTTCATTTGTATCAGAATGTGGTTTGTTTGTATGCGAGTGTTTGATAAATAGGTCCGGTCTGTAGCAGGCTACTAGGTGTACATAGCCACTTATTGATTTGGAGTAATGGTACATGATAAAATGTATGAGACAACTTAATAACACTATCCCTATTTTACTCTTTTTTAGTTTGAGTTTTACTCTTGGCATTGGGATAATATTGTAGTGTGGGATATTAATTTGCGCCCCAAATGGCACCCTATTCCCTATAGGGCCTATAGGGCTCTGGTCAAAAGTTGGGCACTATGTAGGGAATATGGTGCCATTTGGGATGCAACCTAGGTGGCAATTTCCTATTTTCTCTCACTCTGATTTGAATGCAACCACATTGGAATCAATTTAGACACCTCAAGACAAAGTGATTGTCAGATGATGGAAACGTTACTTGGGATTTAGCAGTTATGAATTGTTTGGTCATGGCTTTACTTCATCCTACCATGTTTAATTCATACACACTACATACCTACGCAGCACCGTATAGTCCACCGTTCTACAGTGGAGGACACCTATGAGAAACACACGTACACACACTGACTATTGCCAAAACAGTTAATAGTTTATTCTACCAGGTAATGTAATGTGTGGATAACTCTACTACCTGTCAACTGTTGGCAATAAGAGGCTCTCCTCCACGTGAGCTAGTTACATTTCTCAACCGACTGACTAGTTAAACTTTTTGAACAGTTACTCTGAAGGATATCTATCACTTTGTGAATAAATAGTGTGTGTTTATCATCATTGACAGTTTATGCAGTTATATCGTCCACTGAATGACATTGTGTCCAGCAGGCAGACAGGTTTTAGTAACATTGTTATTTTTCATGTATTCCTTCCCTGGAATCTGACATTAATGGTTACGCATCACTGCTGTAGTTGTTGCATCAAAACAACCTGGAGAAGAAGGGTATGTCCCAAATGACACCCTATTTACTATTTAGTGCACTACTTTTGAGCAAGGCCCATAGGACTTTGGTCAAAAGTAGTGCAGTATATAAGGAATAAGGTGTCATTTGGGACGTAGGCAAAGTGTTATTACATTCTAGTAATTTAGCAGATGCTCTTATCCAGAGCGACTTACAATTAGTGCATTCTTCTTAAGATATGTTATCAGAGTAATGTACTTAATGTAACTCACTCTGATACATTTAGCTATTCTCTAGATTTTAGCCATGTTCAACAATGTTTTAAGATGACACAACTTAGGTCACTTGATGAGTAAAAACAAATGAACAGTATTAAACTATGACTTAAACTCAATATTTGTAACAACTCATGTTTTTCTCTCTGCACAGAAATGTCAGATAGAGCAGCTCTTATTGTGTTAAGAGACTAGACTGACATCTTGCTTCAGTTTAATGTGTTTGTGTGTTTGTGATGATGATGATTGTAGACAGATGGGTAATCCTAAAACATGTATCTCTCTCCCTCCCTCTTCCACTCCTTCTCTACTTGCATATCTGGAGCCTTGAGTGAAAACTTGAAAAACTAGGTTTTATCGATCATAACATTGCCAGATGAATGTGTGTCCCTACTTTGAGTAAAGATCTAATGCTGTAAATTGTTTGAATGGGAGTATCAGGCTCAACTACTTTGATGTGCTGCATTATTCTTTTTTGTTTTGTTTGTGACTTTTTGCTCATTTTTTTTTGTATAATTTATTTCCTGGCAAATATAAACTGTACTGTAAAGAGAGTCAGTCATCTCCACTGCTCTTGGTTTCCTTTGTCTTCTGATGTTTTCTGTAGACACGGGATGTAACATTTGCTTCTTCCTCTGAGTGTACTTTGATAGTAGCCTTCCTGCATGTTAACATTTACATTTTAGTCATTTAGCAGACGCTCTTATCCAGAGCGACTTACAGTTAGTGAGTGCATACATATATATATTTTTTTTATCATACTGGCCCCCCGTGATCGAACCAACAACCCTGGCGTTGCAAACGCCATGCTCTACCAACGGAGCTACACGGGACATACCATGGCCTCTTCCAAAAGGTCTGAAACTTTATGGCACAGAAGATCGTGTGATGATGGCCTTTTGACATATAAATCATTAGTAATGGCGAAGTTAAATTGACCTGCTATGATCGCAGATGCCTCACACTGTAGGGAGATGTGGGAAAGAGACAGGCAGAAGATATGACAAGTGACGTGTATGTCATTTCTGGTAGAGGGAGGAAGGGGGCGTTTTATTTATACCTAATCCTTAGTTATTTTATATATTTAAAAAATTTTTTTTTTTTTTTTAATGATTTCAATATTATTTAAAATCAAGCACGGTCAAATAGAAATTCGACCTGTAATTTGATTTATTTCCATAGCTAGTACGACTCAATCGCGCACCCCTTGAAATCATGTGGTACGTTCCATAGCTCTCTGTTGCCCCGGAAGAAAGCAGTTTGCTTTTACCACTTGGAAAGTGATCAGCTCGTCAGATTGCAACCGTAAAAGTGCATGATCAACTCTCATAAAAAGAAACACAACTCTTGGAATCCAAGGTTTGCATAAAATATTCACATACTTTTAATATCCAAAACTGTGTTGTAACCGTGGATGAACTGACGTAAACCTGTGGCAAATATTTAGCTAGCTAGCCAACAACGGCTAAATATGTTTTCTGACTGTTGTGTTGAGAAACTAACTTGGCTAGCTAGTTAGCATTCCAGCTAATCGTTTCCATTGTTTTGGTCGAATTTGATTGATCTCTTTACCCCATGTATTCTAGTTAACTAGACATGCTAGATAAATACAGATTGCTTTGCTGGTCCCACGTATTCGACTACTGTTGGCTTTTGAACATCATGACAGAAATAACCTGCGAACTGACTAGCTAAAGTAGCTGGCTGTTGGCTACCCGTGTTAGTTGGCTAGGTAGCTAGCTAATTAGCTTACATTTCTAGCTAACTCGAATTAACGTTAGCTAGTTATGTCTTTCTTGATAACAACAAATAAGCAACACCCCAGTCGTGTGTGTATTGTTGTAATCTTTATGCAGATAGTTACTTTTGTGGTTAAGATGATTAATCACATGTATAGTCATGATTAAGCCAGATCAAGATAATATTGCTTGCTTCACTTAGCTAGCTACTAACCTTAGGTAATTGATTGCAAAATAACGTTGATCCGGTAATTTTACATTTTAAACTGCATCGTTGGGAAAGGTTCGTAAGCAAGCATTTCGCTGTAAAGTCTACTCCTGTTATATTCGGCTCATGTGATACATTACATTTGATTTCGAAAATCAATGCATGTTGTTAGCTAGTTGTCTAGTTAGCCTTTGCGTTTTGCTTTTGTAATCGCAGTTAAATTGCCTAGCCGCTAGCTAACGTTAGCACTCAGGCTAGACCTGTCATACGAAATCTTGTCAATATATGTTTTATTGGATTTGATAACAACCGTTCTTCCGTACATTGTACTATAGTTCGTATTTAGACTATCTAGCTAGTTACCCAGTGCAGTGGGTTTATGAATTTTTCTCTCCGTTCGACATTACGGTGACGCAGTTATTCTGGCCAGCGTTGTTAAACGTTAACTAGCACCTACAACAATAATTGGGAGAAACTCCTGCATGTGTGTCGATGCATATCGTTATTTGTTGTAGTTATGTGTACGTTAACTGGGTAGCTAGCTAGGTAACTAACGTTAGGTAGCTAGTAGAGTAGCGATCGTTGATGTGTCTGCTGTCTGTACATGAAAGCATCCGGTAGAAATGTAACATTAGCTAACTAGACGATCAAAGTAACTTGGATGAAATCTGGCCGCTAGCTCTGATTCTACAGTAGCCAGCTATTTCACATTTGTTTATCAGCTTCCAACCGAAAGGTCCACATAGGTCTCCTGATGTGGTTTAAGCATTGTTGTGGACGTAGAGCATCCAATTTTGGCTGGTAAGGTCTCCCTTCCGGTCTTTAGAGCTTGGGAGTGCAGAACCGGAATCGCAAAGCACGTGAAATACACTGAGTGTACAAAACATTAAGAACATCTTCCAAATATTGAGTTGCACCCCCCAGAACATCCTCAATTCGTCGGGGCATGGACTCTACAAGGTGTCGAAGGCGTTCCACAGGGATGCTGGCCCAGTTTGACGCCAATGCTTCAGACAATTGTGTCATGTTGTCTGGATGTCCTTTGGGTGGTGGACCATTTTTGATACACACGGGAAACTGTTGAGCGTGAAACACCCAGCAGTGAAGGCAGTTTTTGATACAAACCTGTGCACCTGGAACCTACTATAATACCCCGTTCAAAGGCACTTACATATTTTGTCTTGCCCATTCACCCTCAGAGTGGCACACATACACGATCCATGTCTCAATTGTCTCGAGGCTTAAAATATATTATTTAACCTGTCTCCTCCCCTTCATCTACACGGATTAAAGTGGATTTAACAAGTAACATCTATAAGGGATCATGTCCTGGATTCACTTGGTCAGTCATGGAAAGAGCAGGTGTTCTTACTGTTTTGTACACTCAGTGTATTCACATGTATTCACACACAGCCTAGTTTCAGCAAGAGCGCGGCTCTCAACTGGTTGTCGCATGGAGCAGCTCACAAAATAACGAAATCGGTAGCTGGTAGGGTAGGTAGTTAAGACTTCAATTTAGGATATCAACCAGTAAATGCTAACTAATGAAACAATGGTTATGCAAATCAGGTATTGAAAAAGTTTCATCCGAAGTCTTGGTTGAATCTTTGCCAAGTGCAGTTCAGTCATCATGCGCTGTTTGAATGAACATTTCTAAAGGCTTTCCTTAAAAGTCTTCCCAATTAAATGTTGACTGCAAAGTACGTCTACCTGGCAGAATGATATCTATGATTTGTATCAATCGGTAGGGCATTTGTTTAGCAAACTCACATGTACGGTACTGTAGGCCTACATTGTACAGTACAGAAACACCACTAGCCAAATGGTCTCTTGCTAGGCACACAATTGAATGAAAGGGCAGCTACACCCTCCCCACAATATTTGTTTTGATTTTCCCAGACCTCATAAATGGTCTCCTGGTGTGGTTTTAAAGCATTGTTGTGGATTTAGATCATCCAATTACTTTCGTTTTTCTATTAAAAAATATGGTGATTTCGAGAGTGACTTCATAAACTATAGGAAAATATAAAATTTTACACACAGGACACCTTTCCTTTAAAAAAAATGAGAGTATACCCACTTCTCCAGGCACCGCTACACCACTACAGCTACTGTCTATTGAATGGGCTAAGGTCCACATAACTTATTGACCAGATAGCAGCTAGCCAAGTAACGATGCATGCGTTGGATGAGATCTGTTTGTACAGCCAACTGGCTAACATTAAACATAGGAGTTATCTGATCTGTGGTTTACGCCTTGTCTGGCGCACAACCGTGAAAACCACTTACACATTACAAAGTATATTAGCTACAATGTCATCTCCCCTCTCCTCCTGCTCTCTGTCTGTCTGTTGCTGTAGGATAGTACAGTGTTCGGACTGGCTGAGGAGGCAGACCTACAGACGGTATCACAGACATTGGACAGATTTGTAAGTTAACAGACTCGAGTGAACTATTGGGATGGCCCAGTACTATAGCTAGTTGAGCCACTGCCAGAGCAGGGGCATTCTGAGAGTTGATTAGCTATGTAATGTGACCATACTGTCTTGTCTTTATGTATGCTTTATAATGTTATGGTACTATGTAGGTCATCACCTCAAGTCTCTCACTGTAAACTGTGTTTTTATTATAGAATCTTATAGATTTGAATGGACAAGGAGACCAGAAATACATAGGTACTTCTCCTATATACTATCTGTAAATAGTATACTGTTTATGGTATGGCTCTCAGCTGAGTGAGTTGACAGATTCATTGTGTGTGTGTGTGGACCCAGCCCAGCTAGTTAACCCGTGTGGAGACTCCGCGATGCCTGTGAAGAAGAAGAGGAAGTCTTCAGGGTCAGATGACCCGGGACTCAGGAAGTGTAAAATCACCTGGTGAGGAACCCCTCCTCACCCACCACCCGTCACCCCTGCTCCTCACCCACCACCCCTGCTCTCCTTCTCCTCACCACTCCTGCTCCTCACCTCACCACTTCTCCCACCATCCTTCACTATTGGATGTTTGGTCTTTTCCCTCCACCCCCTACACAAACCCCATTTTATGGCCCCCACCCCTCAAAAACCTGCTGTATTTAGAGCGGTAGTGGAACTCTGCCTCACCCAACCCTTCTACTGAAGACCCTCCTTCTCCTCACCCATTCCACCATGTGTGTGTGTTGCAGCTGCTGCTTGCTGGCTTTGCTCTGTGCAGTGAGCCTGGCTGCTTGACTGGGGAACTCAACACTCAGCACATATTTGTCCCCTTATGCAGCACAGACCTCAGTCAGTCCGCAGGAGAGGAGGGGGGGAGGAGTGTGTGTGACACTGAATATCTTAAGAACTCCTCTCATGCATGTGTCTGAGTCTGTTTAGTGACTATGTTCTATCCTGTGGTGTAGTTCCTGACTGTGTTCTATCCTGTATGTTGTAGTTTCTGACTGTGCTCTATCCTGTGTTTTGTAGTTTCTGACTGTGTTCTATCCTGTGTTGTAGTTTCTGCAGACCCCAGGCTCCAGGCCGGTTGATCAGCCCAGATGACCAGTTCTCCAATAAGAAATGTCTGGCCTGGTTCTACGAGTACACAGGTACAGTGCCTTCAGAAATTATTCATACCCTCGACTTATTCCACATTTTGTTATGTTACAGCCTGAATTCAGAAATTTTTTCTCACCCATCTACACACAATACCCCATAATGACAAAGTGAAAACATGTTTTTAGAAATATTAGCACATTTATTGAAAATGAAATACAGAAATATGTCATTTACATAAGTATTCATACCCCTGAGTCAATACATGTTAGAATCACCTTTGGCAGCGATTACAGCTTTGAGCAATGTTCCCTCTTATTTTTTTCCGGCACAGAGCAAATTTCTGCTCTGAGCGCAAACTTGAACGTTGTGAAAATTCTGTGCAACTTGTGGCGCGTGTTTACTTTGAACACTGAGGCTGTACCCGCTTTAAGTTAGTTATAACAGTGGTCAATTAGGCTACTGTTGCTATTTTATCATAATCTAGGCCTATTAGAGTGGCCTTCCATAAAAAACAATGGAGAAAATGCATCTCATAACATTTTAACATGGAAATAGCTGTTCTATCATTCAGCCTACAGTAGCAGCCAATGTGGTGTTCAATGTAGGCCTACATTCCATAAAACTTTTTTGGGAAAAACAACCTTTTAAGGATTGACATTAACCTGTTGATCCACTTGTCCTTCAGACAAGGTGACTGAAAATGTTGTGGTGTTTGATGCAAGAAACCACTTTACAAAATAAAATTCATTATTATTCCCTTACCATTATTACAGAGAATCAGACAAATTATGCTACCCTCTGCCTATTGGCTACTTAGCTTATTCAAGCCTGTCTCAAAATACAACACTGCCCCTTTAAGACAGAAAAAAAGCTATTTACCTGACTTGCTTTTCAAAGATGATTAGAAATGCACACGTTTTGTACTCTTGCAGGAAGCAACCACTCCCCCACTGCTGACTAGAAATGAGCTGTAACCTGGGATAATAACTCCCTTAGTAACATGCCCCAAACATAATGCTTTGTATTCAGGACATAAAGTTGATTTCTTTGCCAAATTCTTAGCAGTTTTACTTTAGTGTCTTATTGCAAACAGGACGCATGTTTTGGAATGTTTTTTATTCTGTACAGCCTTCCTTCTTTTTACTCTGTAATTTAGGTTAGTATTGTGGAGTAACTACAATGTTGTTGATCCATCCAGTTTTATCCTATCACAGGCATTAAACTCTGTAACTGTTTTAAAGTCACCATTGGCCTCATGGTGAAATGCCTGAGCGGTTTCCTTCCTCTCCGACAACTAAGTTAGGAAGGACGCCTGTATCTTTGTAGTGACTGTATGTCATTGATATACCATCCAAAGTGTAATTAATAACTTCACCATTCTCAATGTCTGCTTTAGTTTATTTTTACCTATCTACCAATGGGTGTCCTTCTTTGTGAGGCATTGGAAAACGTCCTTGGTCTTTGTGGTTGAATCTGTTTGAAATGTACTGCTCGACTGAGGGACTTTACAGATAATTGTATGTGTAAGGTACAGAGATGAGGTGGTCATTCAAAATAATGTTAAACACTATTATTGCACACAGAGTGAGTCCATGCAACGTATTATGTGACTTGTTAAGCACATTTTAACTCCTGAACTTATTTAGGCTTGCCATAACAAAGGGGTTGAATACTTATTGACTCAAGACATTTCAGCTTTTCATTGTTCATTCATTTGTAAAAATGTATAAAAACATAATTCCACTTTGACATTCTAGGATATTGTGTGTAGGCCAGTGACACATCTCAATTTAATCAATTTTAAATTCAGGCTGTAACACAACAAAATGTGGAATAAGTCAATGGGTGTGAATAATTTCTGAAGGCACTGTTTGTCATATCATGATGATCATAGATACAAAAATAGGACGGCCTATTAACTTTGATACACACTCGGATAGAACTCTTTTTAAGTCGCAAGGAACTCTGAAGTTGATTATTGGTCACTAAATATAGAGTCATTTATACCATTTTGTGTGTGTGTGTTTTGTGCATGCTTCCCGTGTGTGTGTGTGTGTGTGCATGCTTCCCGTGTGTGTGTGTGTGTGTGCATGCTTCCCGTGTGTGTGTGTGTGTGTGTGTGTGCATGCTTCCCGTGTGTGTGTGTGTGTGTGTGCATGCTTCCCGTGTGTGTGTGTGTGTGTGTGCATGCTTCCCGTGTGTGTGTGTGTGTGTGTTTTGTGCATGCTTCCCGTGTGTGTGTGTGTGTGTGCCAGGTCCAGATGAGGTGTTGGGTCCAGAGGGGATGGAGAAGTTCTGTGAAGACATTGGAGTGGAACCAGAAAACGTTAGTCTTCCTCTCCTCCTCTTTTCTCTTCATCCATCCAGCCATCCATCGTTGATAATTATGATGTATGTTCTCTCCCCCTCTCTCTCTCTCTCTCTCTCTCTTTTTCAGATTATCATGTTAGTTTTAGCATGGAAACTAGAAGCGCCAAATATGGGATTTTTCACTAAGGAGGAGTGGCTTAAGGGAATGACTTTACTACAGTGAGTAACCTTGATTTACCACATCACATGTCTATGTTTCTGATGCTTCAGACTCTATAGGTGTGACTGGGAAACCATGTGTGTGTGTTTGTGACACTACACCCCCCTATAGGTGTGACTGCATAGAGAGGTTACAGGGGAAACTGGACTACCTGCGCAATCAGCTCAACGACATGATCATCTTTAAAAACATCTACAGATACGCCTTCGACTTTGCCAGGGTGAGTCCTCTATCACTGGTTCATAGTCAGGAAATGGTTTGACTTCCTGAAGAGAGGATCTGGATGCATTCGGAAAGTATTCAGACCCCTTGACTTTTTCCACATTTTGTTATATTACAGCCTTATTCTAAAATTGATTAAATTGTTTTTTTCCCTCATCAATCTACTCACAAAACCCCATAATGACCAAGCAAAAACAGGTTTTTAGAAATGTTTGCAAATATATAAAAAATGGAAATATCACATTTACACAAGTATTCAGACCCTTTACTCAGTACTTTGTTGAAGCACCTTGGGCCACTCAAGGACATTCAGAGACCTGTCCCGAAGCCACTTCTGCGTTGACTTGGCTGTGTGCTTAGGGTCGTTGTCCTGTTGGAAGGTGAACCTTCGCCCCAGTCTGAGGTCCTGAGTGCTCTGGAGCAGGTTTTCATCAAGGATCTCTCTGTACTTTGCTCCGTTCATCTTTCCCTAGATCCTGACCAGTCTCCCCTGCCGCTGAAAAACATCCCCACAGCATGATGCTGCCACCACCATGCTTCACTGTAGGGATGGTGCCAGGTTTTCTCCAGACATAAGGCTTGGCATTCAGGCCAAAGAGTTCAGTCTTGGTTTCATCATACCAGATAATCTTGTTTATCATGGTCTGAGAGTCTTTAGGTGCCTTTTGGCAAACTCCAAGCGGGCTGTCGTGCCTGTTACTGAGGAGTGGCTTCCGTCTGGCCACTCTACCGTAAATGCCTGATTGGTGGAGTGCTGCAGAGATGGTTGTCCTTCTGGAAGGTTCTCCCATCTTCACAGAGGAACTCTGGATCTCTGCACTGTACTTACATTCTCTTCTTCTTTATCATCTCTCTTACCCCTCCCTCTGCCTCCCTCCCTCCCTCTCCCCCCTCCCTCCCTCTCCCAGGATAAGGACCAGAGGAGTCTGGACATGGACACAGCTAAGTCCATGCTAGCATTGCTACTGGGGAGAACATGGCCACTGTTCCCTGTCTTCAACCAGTTTCTGGAGGTAACACACACCCAATGCTGACCACACAGCTGTGTGGTTCCTGTACTGACTCGCTCCTAATATTTATCACCTTTCTCCACCCCCTATCTCCTCCTCTCTCTGTCCTCCCCCTCTCCCCTCTCCTCTCCCCTCTCTTCCTCGCTTCTCTCTCCTCCCCCTCGCTTCTCTCTCCTCCCCTGCAGCAGTCCAAATACAAGGTGATGAATAAGGACCAGTGGTATAACGTCTTAGAGTTCAGTCGTACAGTCAGCACAGACCTCAGTAACTATGACGAGGATGGAGCCTGTGAGTACACACACACACTAAACCACACAAAAAACACACACACAAATAAAAAAACACACATACACAGTCCCTCTCACACTAACACTACTCTTTCTCTCTGCAGGGCCGGTGTTATTGGATGAGTTTGTGGAGTGGCAGAAAGCTCGGCTGGCAGCGTTATAGCGGAGAGAAGAAAGAGGGAGCAGGAGGAAAACGAAAGAGAGAAGCACACATGAAGATGTTCTCCCTCCGTTTGAAATATACAGAAACGGCACATATACACCTTCCATGGACTGTGCACACACACACACACACGCATACGGTGTCATGGAGCGCACACACACTTCCAGTGACGGCCTCTGTGCTTCGTGGGCCAACAGTGAAGTTCTCTCTCTCTCTGAAGATACTTTTCCAGTGTTCATTTAAACAAGTTCAACAAGAAGAAAACAAACAAAAAGCTAAACTAAAGAGGGAACTATTTTTCATATATATTGCATCTGTGGCCACAGTTGTCTAGCCATTGTTAAGATCGACTGGGGAATTTATCGGTTTCCTTGAACATTTTTTCCCTTCATTTTTGAGTCTTACCTCGTTTATAGTATGTTTTCTGAACAAGAATAAAGAATGGAATTGTACCAAACCTGCTTCTAACCTCTGATTGGTACAACCAAACTTGCTTCTAACAAATAACTTAGCAAATACCAATTTCTCAAGCAAGAATTTACCTAGGACTGTCTGGGCGTGGTCTGAGTGGGGAGGGGAAAACTATATGTTATTGGCAGAGAGGTTTGGAACTGCTTCTTATTGGTCTATTAACAAATGTTCTGCCTGGTGACCACCAGACAGGCCAAAACAGGCTGTAATTTCAGGCTGTCTTTTCAAACAGCTCTTACACTGAAAGTACATTATCATAATTTTCACAGTATTACTCCAGCCTCAGTATGGAAATATACACAGTGTACACAGCATTAGGAACACCTTCCTAATATAGAGTTGGACCTCCTTTTGCCCTCAGAACAGCCTCAATTCGTCGGGCACATGGACTCTACAAGGTGTCGAAAGCATTCCACAGGGATGCTGGCCCATGTTGACTCCAATGCTTCCCACAGTTGTGTCAAGTTGGCTGGATGTCCTTTGGGTGGTGGACCATTCCTGGTGCACACGGGAAACTGTTGAGTGTGAAAAACCCAGCAACGTTAACAGTTCTTGACACTCAAACCGGTGCGCCTGGCACCTACTACCATCTTTTGTCTTGCCCATTCACCCTCTGAATGGCACACATACGCAATCCATGTTTCAATTGTCTCAAGAAATCCTTCTTTAACCTGTCTCCTCCCCTTCATCTGCACTGATTTGAAGTGGATTTAACAAGTGACATCAATAAGGGATCATAGTTTTCACCTGGATTCGCCTGGTCAGTCTATGACATGGAAAGAGCAGGCGTTCCCAATGTTTTGTACACTAACCCTAACCCCATAAAATACAGGGAAATCACGTTTTTGACTGCACTGGGCCTTTAACCCAATAGAAAGAACACGAAAAAGTCCAGAGCCAATAGCCATCGGCTTTATATTTAATCAATCACTTCCCTCCGAACACTTCATCCCATATTGTGTACCTCTAATTTGGAGCCCTGTCTTGCAGTCGTGTGATTCGCTAAACTCATAATGATAAATGTTTATGTTCACTCCTATATAGGCCAGACTATAGTTGTTGTTATTCCAGGCTTATTAGTGCTACAGTGCCTTGCAAAAGTATTCAGCCCCCTTGGCGTTTCTCCTATTTTGTTGCATTGCAACTTGTAATTTAAATTGATTTTTATTTGGATTTCATGTAATGGACATACACAAAATAGTCCAAATTGGTGAAGTGAAATGAAAAAAATAACTTGTTAAAAAAAATTTCTAAAGAATAAATAATGGAAAAGTGGTACGTGCATATCTATTCACCCCCTTTGCTATGAAGCCCCTAAATAAGATCTGGTGCAACCAATTACCTTCAGAAGTCACATAATTAGTTAAATAAAGTCCACCTGTGTGCAATCCAAGTGTCACATGATCTCAGTATAGATACACCTGTTATGAAAGGCCCAAGAGTCTGCAACACCACTAAGGAAGGGGCACCACCAAGCAACCAGCACCATGAAGACCAAGGAGCTCTCCAAACAGGTCAGGGACAAAGTTGTGGAGAAGTACAGATCAGGGTTGCGTTATAAAAAAATATCCCCAAACTTTGAACATCCCACGGAGCACCATTAAATCCATTATTAAAAAATTGAAAGAATATGACACCACAACAAACCTGCCAAGAGAGGGCTGCCCACCAACACTCACGGACCAGGCAAGGAGGGCATTATTCAGAGAGGCAACAAAGAGACCAAAGACAACCCTGAAGGAGCTGCAAAGCTCCACAGCGGAGATTGGAGTATCTGTCCATAGGACCACTTTAAGCCGTACACTCCACAGAGCTGGGCTTTATGGAAGAGTGGCCAGAAAAAAGCCATTGCTTAAAGAAAAAAATAAGCAAACACGTTTGGTGTTCGCCAAAAGCCATGTGGGAGACTCCCCAAACATATGGAAGAAGGTACTCTGGTCAGGTGAGACTAAAATTGAGCTTTTTGGCCATCAAGGAAAACGTTATGTCTGGCGCAAACCCAACACCTCTCATCACCCCGAGAACACCATCCCCACAGTGAAGCATGGTGGTGGCAGCATCATGCTATGGGGATGTTCTTCATCGGCAGGGACTGGGAAACTGGTCAGAATTGAAGGAATGATGGATGGCGCTAAATACAGGGAAATTCTTGACTAAACCTGTTTCAGTCTTCCAGAGATGTGAGACTGGGACGGAGGTTCACCTTCCAGCAGGACAATGACCTTAAGCATACTGCTAAAGCAACACTTGAGTGGTTTAAGGGGAAACATTTAAATGTCTTGGAATGGCCTAGTCAAAGCCCAGACCTCAATCCAATTGAGAATCTGTGGTATGACTTAAAGATTGCTGTACACCAGCAGAACCCATCCAACTTGAAGGAGATTGAGCAGTTTTGCCTTGAAGAATGGGCAAAAATCCCAGTGGCTAGATGTGCCAAGCTTATAGAGACGTACCCCAAGAGACTTGCAGCTGTAATTGCTGCAAAAGGTGGCTCTACAAAGTATTGACTTTGGGGGGGTGAATAGTAATGCACGGTCAAGTTCCGTTTTTTTGTCTTCTTTCTTGTTTGTTTCACAATATAAAAAATATTTTGCATCTTCAAAGTGGTAGGCATGATGTGTAAATCAAATGATACAACCCCCCCCAAAAAATCCATTTTAATTCCAGGTTGTAAGGCAACAAAATAGGAAAAATGCCAATGGGGGTGAATACTTTTGCAAGCCACTGTTATGTGCAAGTATTGCCTGGGGAAAAGGTTACAACCAAATACACTGGGACTAACTTTAAATTAACACAATCATCCAAAGTTAACATGTATTTTTAATGTTTTATTTCCAATTGCTTTTTACAAAATAATCATGGAATCCGCTGGATTTGATGACAAGTTAAAATCTCAAGTGTTTCTGGGAATTTGTGTGTGAGAATTTGTGATTGAGAAAATGTTTTACAATGGAGTGAAATGGCGAGGCACTACCTGTTAAAGTTGTCCAGTAAGAAATACTAATTTTTTTTCTGTTTCAAACCATTTTGGTACCGTGTCTCTGTATGCCCTATTGAACATGACCCTGATCTTTCTGCTCAGGGGCTGCATCTATCAAGACTAGGAGGGCTGATCTAGAACCAGTTTCGCCTTTTAATTCGTAATGATTAAGATTATATGGACAGGTTAGGACTGGATCATTTATCAGCAGCCCTACTCTGAGACGCTTTATGAATACAGGCCCAGATCTTGTATGTCACATCTCCAGTTGAAAGACGGGTTTCTCCTGGCCCTGGGATGGGCTGGCTGGACTGGCTGTGTCCCTTTCGTCAGGGTCTGAGTCTCTGCCCGGGGGGCTCTGGGGGTCAAGGGGGCTGGCGGTGGCAGCAGCCATGATGGTGTTGAGCCTGGTGAGGGACAGTGAGCGCTGCTTGGCCCGGGGGGCAGGGGAAGTACATTCCATGGGGGAGGGGTTTGGCAGGTGACCATAGCGATGCCCCTCCTCATCGTACTGGTACAGACGAATCACACGGCTCCGTCTAGCTGGCTGGGGAGGAGAACACATCTCTTCTCCCTCCCCCTGCCTCACCTCTCCCCCCTGTCTCGCCCCAACAGACCCTTGTTCTGAATCACTGCTACTATCGCCTCTAGATCCTCCCTCTTCAACCTCTCCCTTGCTCTCTTTCCTCCTCTCCTTACATTCTGTCCTCCCCTCCTCTCCCTCTCTCCCTTCCTCACTCTCTCTTCTTCCTTCCTCCCTGACACTTTCATTCCTCCCCTCCTTTCCCTCTCTCCCTTCCTCACTGTCACTCCTTTCTTCCTCCCCCTCTCTCCTGCTCCTCTCTTTTCCATCAGTGCTGTCTCCAACCTCCATCCCCTCTTCTCCTCCCCCCTCCCTCCCTTCCTCTCCTCTCCCCTGGTCGCAGCCCTCCAGATAAGCAGTGTTCTCTTCATGACGTTTGCCCCTGAAGCTTCTCTGAGGTTTGGCCGGTGGAGATGGGCTGACTTTATCCATGGTAACGCTTGTCGTCGAGGCAGAGTCATCCTCATCCTCTTGTTCCACATCCTTCCGGAATGCCACGCTGACTGTTTCACCATGGTTACGACGTCCCTGTCCTAGCGACCGCACCCAATTCACACACCTTAGAGAGAAGGAGTGCTGGTAAAATGTATCTGTATTTAATGTTGATGCTGTTTAAATGGGAAGTTCAGTGTTTTACAACTAGACTACTTTCACTCTGAAAGCAGTCTATGGGCCAAGAGAAACTAATCAATCCATGGTTCGGTTTTATTTAAACAACCACTACAAGTTTCAGCTAACCATGATTTAGTTTCTCCTGGCCTATATTCTACTTTCAGGGTGAGGAACCATCTAACATGAAGTTGTAAAATACTGAACTTCATCTTTATCGAATGTAAAATAAAGGTGAATAGATGTTTAATATAGGTAGATAAACCCATGCACCTGTCCAGTAGAGGCCTGCTCAGAGCTCCAGAGCTGAGCCCCACCAGGAACGTCACCACTACTGATGCCGTCACCGCCGCCGCAAACACACCGTCAGAAACCACGGGAACATCCCTCTCATCTCCATGATCACCCAGAACACTCCTGACCGTCCGCCTGGGTTCGAGCACAGGGTCCTGTCGACTGCTGGCAGTCCTGAGGGAGCTAAAGAGTGAATGCATGGGTGAGTCCCAAATGGCACGCTATTATATAATACACAACATGGATGCCTTACAACAGTACTTACAGCAGGTAGGATGTGAGTGTAGTTTGTCCTCCGGCCAGTAGGACGCAGTAGTACAGGCCGCTGTGGTGAGGAGAGGCAATGTGGATCCGCAGGCTACCATCTCGTTGCATAGCAACCACATCCTTCTGGTTGGCATGCAGACTGCTCAGGACCCGACCGAACGGGGTCTGCCAGTACTGGACCACTCCTACACACACAAACACCAGTATAACAGGTGTATGGGGACATTCCACAAAGGTAGTCTTTTTTGTGTGTGTGTGTTATCTCACCTGTATGTGTTGTGTTCATGCAGGGCAGTGTGAGGCTCCTCCCTTTGTGAACTCTGACCCTGGAGGTGTGGCTAAGGGTTAGACTGACCACGCCCATACAGAGGGCTGAGCCAATCAGCAGAGACCCCATAATTCTCCCCATCCCCACCACTCTACACAGGGACACAGTAAGGACAATGTTTCCCAGAATGCTACATATACCTCATAACATGCTTTTATATTCCACAGATAAATAATAAAGCAATCAACCAATCAATAAATCAATTAACCAATCAAGTATCAGACAAACTTTCTCTTGGCATACTCCTTCATTAAAACACACAGGGTGAATAAGTAATAGCCTTGTGGGAAAAATAATTGTTCAATACACTGATCCTCATCACAGTATCATTATTACTTACTGTGTAGTTTGTTCTGAGTGTATCTCCTTATACAACAAACCGTCTTAAATTAAACTAACAAGTTAGATGTTTCATGTCCATCTCCCCCGTTGTCTGATGTGAATGTTGTCTTTCTTCAGTTCAGAAAAGTGTAAAGTGCAGTTTCTCACATGACTTTTCATATGTCCGGTGACTCCGGTCCCTTGGGGTTAAACATTAATGACACAGCGCGACAGACAGACACATGGCTACCTCGGTCACGGCCACTGGTTCTACCTGGCAGTACATTACGCTGTTGTCCTTTTACCCGGTGGCCACATGGGGGCGCTGCAGTACTGTAAATAGCAGCGACGTGAAAAACGTGTTGTTTCCAAACAAACTGTAATCTGATGCGGATTAGATGAAAGCGTTACATTGTTTCCAGACTGGCAAATTGACCGATCTGCAATTTGATTTGTTCACACAGGCAGCCCAATTCTTGTATTTGTTCCACTAATTGTTCTTTCGACCAATCACATCAGATCTTTTCACGTTAGAGCTTTTTCAGATCTGATTGGCCAAGAGACCAATTAGTGAAAAAGATCAGAATTGGGCTGCCTATGTGAACGCAGCCTAAACGCATGCCACTGTGCAGTCAGGCATACATCTTCGAAAACGTTGTACACCAACATTATATCTGTCTTTGTGCGTTTTGAAACGAATTAGACCTAATTCTGAAAATTTTTTTTAAAATAATGGGTTGTTAAGTTGCTTTAGTTTAAATTCTTTATGAAGCGTGAGGTGAGGAGTTTTGCCCGGAATCTAAAGATAGTCACCTTTTTTCATGACAAGGGAGAAATAGACTACTGTTTGGAAATTAGCCGAACTAGGCACTTTCCAAAAGAGACGTGGATTTATTCTCAAATGTTTTATGTGAAAAACAGTAGGATCCAATTAATATTTTCAAGAGCATTGATTCAACTTGATCATGTCAGTATAGCAGTAGGTCGAGTCGACACTAAAATAGACCACATGTTTCTGATCAACATGGTCACGGAACCGGAGTAACTAGTAGAGCTCAGCTCCTGCCGTAAGACACTCAGCCCTCCCCTGTGTGTGAGAGAGAAAAAGAGAGCGAGAAAGGGACAGCAAGTGAGCCCTGAAGAGCTCGTGCATCAGAAGAGCAGACTCCGGGAGAGAACAGGGGATCTGAAGCCCCAGTAGGACCGGAGAGGAACGAATACGTCACCGAGGGAGTCAACTCTTCCAAGGTAAACTGGCCCTAATTAAAGCAGCCAGTCGGTTTGACGGAAATGTATGACGATAGATTAATTTATTTAAACTTTTTTATAGAAACTGATTTTTATCATACTTGAGTAAAAGTAAAGATACCTTAATAGCCAATTACTCAAGTAAAAGTGAAAGTCACTCAGTAAAATACTACTTGAGTAAAAGTCTAAAAGTATTTGGTTTTAAATATACTTAAGTATCAAAAGTAAAAGTGTAAATCATTTCACATTCCTTACATTAAGCAAACCAGAGGACACAATTTTCTTGTTTTTTAAATTTACGGATAGCCAGTGGTACACTCAACACTCAGACATAATTTACAAATGAAGCATTTGTGTTTACTGAGTTCACCAGATCAGAGGCAGTAGGGATGACCAGGGATGTTCTCTTTAAGTGCGTGATTTTGACCATTTTCCTGTCCTGCTAATCATTCGAAATGTAATGAGTACTTTTGGGTGTCAGGGAAAATGTATGGAGTAAAAAGTACATTTTCTTTAGGAATGTAGTGGAGTAAAAGTACTCAAAAATATAGACACCCCACAAAAACTACTTTAGTAGTACTTTAAAGTATTTTAACTTAAGTACTTTACACCACTGAATTGTATGTGATGTCGGAGCTCCAGTCCGCCCACACTAGTCGTTGCGCAACTCCGTTGATGTGAAGTACAGTACATCGTGGAGTTGAGTTTTACTTGGCTACCAACTGCTGTGTCTTCAAGTATAAAACACGTTTTGGCGTTAGTTCAGTTAAATAGTCTACTATCTCCTTGTGTGTGTGGTTGATATGCTTAGCTTACTCGCTGGAGAGCAGAATATACACTTTCTTTCTCCCCAGCAGCTGCAGCATCTGTAAAATGTGTTTAGACTTACTGAGCAGAGCTACTACCTTTGGCCCAAACTGTGGAGGTCTGTTATGAATCCTGACTTTCTCTCTCTCCATCCCCACCTAATTTCTCCTCAGTGAAGTTCTAAAGCCGGATGAGTCATGTAGGACTCAACTGTTTAGTGGAGTTCTATACTCTTGAGTATGGTTAATGGGGACTGAACTGTGAACAAAGAGACGGTTGTAGTATAGTTTGTCTCTGCCATTTCAGTCTGTGCCATGTCTTATGGTGTTATGCCTGAACACCCTCACACCATGCCAGTCACACCCTCTGCTAACATTGGGTTGGTGTTGTGGTTAGAGTAGCTAGCAGATTGTAACGGGCTAATGTAATGCTCGCTCCATTAGCCTTTACAGGATAGGTACTGTTTGGCCTAGCACAGATAATTTTGACCAACCTTAACTTGGCAATACTATCTTTGTTATCGGTTCGGCCAAACATGTATTTTCTAAAATGTCTGTGTCCAGTTGCAGGTGGTTCGTTTGAATTTTAGAAAATGCTCCATTATTAAATAAATAAATGTTTTGCTCCATGATGTAATCCAACAATGTGTACACCACCATCTTGTCTATTTCAAATCTTCTTTCATTGATTGAGACAGGTGGGTCATGATTAGGATACTGTTAGTCTTTCTAATGGTAAAGATAGAGATACAGTGCATTCAGAAAGTATTCTGACCCCTTGACTTTTTCCACATTTTGTTATGTTAAGCCTTATTCTAAAATTGATAAAATTATTTATTTTCCTCATCAATCTACACACAATACCCCATAATGACAAAGTGAGAACAGGTTTTTAGAAATGTTTGCAAATATATTAAAATACAAAACAGAAATACCTTATTTACATAGGTATTCAGACCCTCTGCTATGAGACTCTAAATTGAGCTCAGGTGCATCCTGTTTCCATTGATCATCCGTGGCTGCAGTCCAAACACGTTCTTTTTACCCCCTCAGCCCTTGCGCTAGCCACTTTCCCTCGGGGGAATCCCTGTCGAAACCGGATGCAGTTTGATTGCCATCTTAAGTGGAGGTCCAATTCACTAACGTAGATCCCTCAGCCCTCAATTTAGCTAGAGGGAGCGAGTGAACAACTTTGGTCACTTGCGGGGTTGATATGACCCACAATTCAATGCAAACTGCAGTCACATGTAAGACACTCAGCCCTCCCCTGTGTGTGAGAGAGTGTTACATTTAATCAACAAGGTTGCATTTTCGGCATGTCAGAAAAAAGTATGAAGCTTGCAAAAAAATATAGACATTGATTTTAGCGTTGGCAAATTGGCTTAGTCTCGTAGTGAGGAGCCTATAAAACATAACTAGATTCATAAACATATTTTTTGGAATTCTGAAATGTATTACAATAAATGACCAAACTATAAAACTAGCTAGCCAGCTATGGCTACCTGACGAGTGCTAGCTAGATACGTTAGCTTACTAGGTACATTCATTGCTTTTGGTTGGTTGTTTCTAAGCTCAACTTCAAGATTTCCACCAAGGACGCTTAGGCAAGGGACATTTTTAAGGTACACTCGGATATGACGATGTAAAACATCATTCAAGGGCTGAGGGTTTAGGGCCGAGGGCTGTCTACTTTGAGTTTGAAACGCAGCCCTTGAGATGTTTCTACAACTTGATTGGAGTTCACCTGTGGTAAATTCTATTGATTGGACAGGCACACACCTGACTATATAAGGTCCCACAGTTGACAGTGCATGTCAGAGCAAAAACCAAGCCATGAGGTCGAAGGAATTGTCCCTAGAGCTCCGAGACAGGATTGTGTCGAGGCACAGATCTGGGGAATGTACCAACATTTTTTTGAAGGTCCCCAAGAACACAGTAGCCTCCATCATTCTTAAATGGAAAATGTTTGGAACCACCAAGACTTTTCCTAGAGCTGGCCGCCCAGCCAAACTGAGCAATCGGGGTGGAAGGGCCTTGGTCAGGGATGTGACCAAGAACCCGATGGTCACTCTGACAAAGCTCCAGAGTTCCTCTGTGGAGATGGGAGAACCTTCCAGAAGGACAGCCATCTCTGCAGCACTCCACCAATCAGGCCTTCATGGTAGTGGCCAGACAGAAGCTACTCCTCAGTAAAAGGCACATGACAGCATGCTTGGAGTTTTCCAAAAGGCACCTAAAGGCAGTGGTGGAAAAAGGACTGTTGTCATACTTGAGTAAAAGTAAAGATACCATAATAGAAAATGACTCAAGTGAAAGTCACCCAGTAAAATACTACTTGAGTAAAAGTCTAAAAGTATGTGGTTTTAAATATGCTTAAGTATCAAAAGTAAATGCAATTGCTAATATATACTTTAAGTATTAAAGGTGAAAGTATAAATAATTTCAAATTCCTTATTACGCAAAGCAGACGGCACAATTGTCTTGTTTTTTTAAATGTATTTACGGATAGCCAGGGGCACACTCCAACACTCAGAAATAATTTACAAATTAAATATCTGTGTTTAGTGAGTCCACCGGATCAGAGTCGGTAGGGATGTACTCTTGATAAGTGTGAATTAGACCATTTTTCATGTCCTGCTAAGCATTAAAATCTAACGATTACTTTTGGGTGTCAGGGAAAATGTATGGCGTAAAAAGTAAATTATTTTCTTTAGGAATGTAGTGAAGTAATAGTTGTCAAAAATATAAATAATAAAGTACAGATACCCCAAAAAACTACTTAAGTAGTACTTTAAAGTAGTTTTACTTAAGTACTTTACACCACTGCCTAAAGGACTCTCAGACCATGAGAAACAAGATTCTCTGGTCGGATTAAACCCAGACTGAACTCTTTGGCCTGAATGCCAAGCGTCAGGTCTGGAGGAAACCTGGCACCATCCCTACGTTGAAGCATGGTGGTGGCAGCATCATGCTGTGGAGATGTTTTTCAGCGGTAGTGACTGGGAGATTAGTCAGGATCGAGGGAAAGATGAACGGAGCAAATTACAGAGATCCTTGATGAAATCCTGCTCCAGAGCGCTCAGGACCTCAACAGGACAACGACCCTAAACACACAGCCAAGAAAACGCAGGAGTGGCTTCGGGACATCTGAATGGCCTTGAGTGGCCCAGCCAGACCCCGGACTTTAACCTGATCGAACATCTCTGGAGAGACCTGAAAATAGCTGTGCAGCGACGCTCCCCATCAAACCTGACAGCGCTTGAGAGGATCTGCAGAGAAGAATGGGAGAAATTCCCCAAATACAGGTGTGCCAAGCTTGTAGCATCATACCCAAGAAGACTTGATTCTGTAATCTCTGCCAAAGGTGCTTCAACAAAGTACTGAGTAAAGGGTCTGAATACTTATGTAAATGTGATATTTCCGTTTTTGCTAAAATTTCTAAAAACCTGTTTTTGTTTTGTCATTATGGGGTATTGTGTGTAGATTGATGAAAAAAAACGATTTAATCCATTTTAGTATAAGGCTGTAACGTAATAAAATGTGAAATGTCAAGGGGTCTGAATACTTTCTGAATGCACTTTACAAAGAGTGAGAGAGTGATACATGATGAGTGTGGGATAGAACGAAGAGCAGTATGGAGAAAGTAAGGAAAGTGAGACCGAGTTATAACAAACAGGCAGAGCAAACGAGATGAGTGCACGTAAAAGGACTGAAAGAGGGGAGAGAATGAGAGTGATATGGAGGTAACAGAGTAGTAGTAGTGATTTTGACAGGTGGAGATAACACTGTTTCCTGTCAGGCCAGACAGAACCCAATAGTCCCCTTCTTAGACACATTCCATTCATACCCCTAGTCCCCTTCCGTAGTTCCTACTCCCTCAGATTTGCAAGGAATAGATAGTTGTTGGTAGTACCATGATAGCTCCATCTAGACCTCCAGTAGACTAAGTCCAACCAGTAGCGGTGTTTGACTGAACTGCATACAGTATTCCTGTAGTGTTGTGTGTGTGTGTGTGTGTGTGTGTGTGTGTGTATACTGAACAAAAATATAAACGCAACAATTTCAAAGATTTTACTGAATGTGGAGGTCCTGGTCTGGCATGGTTACACGTGTTCTGCGGTAGAGAAATGAACATTCAATTCTCTGGCAACAGCTCTGGTGGACATTCCTTCATTCAGCATGCCAATTGCACACTCCCTCATCTTGACATCTTTGGCATTGTGTTGTGTGACAAAACTGCACATTTTAAAGTGGCTTTTTATTGTCCCCAGCACAAGGTGCACCTGTGTAATGATCATGCTGTTTAATCAGCTTCTTGATATGCCACACCTGTCAAGTGGATGGATTAACTTGGCAACTGAGAAATGCTCACTAACAGGGATGTAAACAAATTTGTGCACAATATTTGAGAGAAATAAGCCTTTTGTGCTTATAGAACATTTCTTGGATCTTTTATTTCAGCTCATGAAACATGAGACCAACACTTTACATGTTGCGTTTATATTTTTGTTCAGTGTAGTTAGTACTTCTAGCTGTTGTGAACTGACCACTCACTTCATCCCTCTTCTTTCCCCTCCTCTCGTCTCTAGGAGAGGTCTATGGTAAACCCTGTGTGTGTGTGTGTGTGTGTAGTGTGTTTGTCTGCATTGAGTAGAGTGTGTTCTGTCTTTTACAGGGTTGTCAAACGCTAACATGATTACACTGCCTGGCTACATCCCATAAGCATCTCCATGACTACCAGAGAGTCCTGCTGACTGTTCGACCAGTAAACAGCAGCAATTTGTGTGTTTAGCAGACAGACTCTATGCAAAAAAACTTCAGACCGTAAAAGCACACTATGCTAAAAGGTCTGATAACCTCTGATCTAACATTGGAGTTGGAGCTGGTCCATGGGTAAACTAGGAGTGTCTGTTGTGTGTATTTGTCACGTGACTGGAGAGTTATGGTGTGTGCTGTGTGTGTTGAAAAATAGGATATCCTTGTACAACAGTGTTTTTTTTCTTCTCTACTTTCAATGGGAGGAGTCAGTATAGAATGTAAATAATGGGTCTCTGTCACTCACACACACCCTTCTCTTGTTTGCCCTCTTCTGGGCATAAAGCTCATAATAGACTCCCCACCAGAAAAATTTAGCTTTCAAGGAGGCTGCTGAGGGGAGGACGGCTCATAATAATGGCCTGAACGGAGCGAATGGAATGGCATCAAACACATGGAAACCATGTTTGATTTATTTGATAACATTCCGCTCCAGCCATGACCACGAGCCCTTCCTCCCCAATTAAGGTGCCACCAACCTCCTGTGCTACCATTAACAATATCAGGGTTTTTTCTGGATCAAAAAGTGGCTTAGGTGGTCGGCGTGGCAATGGGTGCGCCGGCCCCCATCCTGGAGGTGTAGATGCATTTTTAAGCCATTTTCCTGCAATTATACACATTTTGCCATGGAGCTGAGAGAAAATGTTGCAGTTTGAAGCTAATATCTAGCAATTCTATGCATTTTGCCATGACTGATGCAGTGTTGTTTTGTTCAAACATAATAGCAAAATCAATACTGCTAAATTCGTTGTTTTGTGAATTTTTTATTCTCACTGATTATCTATCTTTTATTTAGGCGACTGTTAGTTCTCTCTTATTTAAAAATATAATGTTATGGGTCCATTATAATTTCTACATACTTTGTCTGGTTTTAGTCGTTTAAGTTTACACTAAAAGCGTATTTCCATCCTGAAAATATTATTTATACACTGTTTGGACTTGTTTGTGTAACTGTGTGTGTTCCAGGGAGATGGTTGTGTCGTATGAGAACCAGTGTTTTGCTGCTGTGTGTGTGTTCCAGCAGGGTGATGGTGGTGCCATATGAAGGCCAGGGCTACTCCTCCCTGCGTAGGGAGTGCCAGCAGCGTCGGGTCCTGTTTGAAGACTCTTTGTTTCCAGCTACGGACCAGTCTCTGTTCTACAAGACCAACAGCATAGGAACCATCACCTGGAAGAGACCTAAGGTACCATAAGGTACCACACACTGACGGGAGGTGTGTGTGTGTGGGGGAATAGGAGCGTTAAAGGGCAATTCCGCCACTCTTCAACCTCATATTCATCATCAGCACCAAACCAGTGTCCACATATGTGTAAACAGTGCGTTTCTATGATCTGTGGTTAAAAAGATAAGAAAAGTCCCCCCCCAAAAAAAATCTGACACCACAGGGTAGGATTTAAAGTCAAAACTTGCAATGACTTTCTAGCCAGAGGGAGGGTGTTTTCTTGCTCCCCACATCACCGTGAATCTCAGTGTTTGAAAATCACAGTTTTTAAGAGTCCATGTTATCGCAGAAACAGACTTAACAGCACGATTGCCCGGCCGTCCCATCTTCAGTGAGCTGTTCATTATTTTATTTTTACGGATATGAGGGTTATTTTATTTTCATGATGGTCTTTATCCATAACCGTCAGTTATACGGTAATTGTGCCAGCTCTAGAGTTAAGGTGTTTGAATAAGCATCCGACAGAGTTTGTTTATCTCACGGCTTTTCAGCCAGAGAGGTGGTGGGGGAAGAAATTGAAGAAATGTCAGGGAATGAATAGAGGATTGAATGGAAGAAATGTTCTGCTCTATGAACCCTTTGAACGGTGTGTGTGTACATTTCCCCAACCTTTGCGCCGTGACCAACCAAACAGGAGTGGTAGTAGTTAATATCAGATGACAAGTGACCAGTAGGTTATCACTGCTGATAGATGTAAACACTATTGCAACACGCACGCACGCACGCACGCACGCACACACACACACACACACACCCCGGTTGCGCAGCACTGAGCTGTATCAGGAGCTAACGCAGCGTTGACTGTCTGAACACAGGAGACTGAACACTGACAGCTTCCAGGTCCTCAGAGAGAGAGGGGGGAGAGAGTGAGAACACAAATGAATGAAGAGGGAGTTAGAGAGAGGTATGGGTAGAGATGGAGAAATAAAGAGAGATATGTAGAGAGAGAAGGTATATGAGGTGTAGAGTAGACATTCCGTCCAGAGGGAGAGTGATCATGACAGTCAGGTAAAACAAACAGCAACACTCTGGTGACTACCTACAGTACCTACCGTCTGTCTGTCTGTTCACAACCGTGTGTGTGTGCCTAGTGTTCAGATATGAATCTGTTACAGTACATGCCGCTCCCATGATATGTTCTACTTTTTTATACTCCGTATAATTGTCCAGGTAAGGGAGGGTGTAACAGCAGGACTGGTTGGACCAGTAAATAAAGCTGTATTGTAAAGGTATTACTCATAGATAATATATCTATTGTAATCCTGTTTTTATCCAGCCTTGCTCCAACACAGAAGCTGTTCAAGCCCAAGGCAAAAGGTTACTTCTCACCCAGTGAGATTCCTCAGGAGGGCTCCCTGGCTCAGAGAAAGAGCGGGTAGGGTGTGGTGGTGTGTGTGTGTGTGTGTGTGTGTGTTAAGAGCAGCGAACCATGGAACGGGTTGAGAAAATGATCCACCCTACAGTGTGTTAGACTTACTGATCTTCTTTGGGAGTGTACCAGAGGTTCTCATCCCCAATGTCTTTCACAAGACCTCTGATCCCCCTGTTATCCTCTAGTTATAGTAGTGTCTAGTACAGTCCCAAGGAGTAGTTTAGTGTTGTCAGGCCTGCTTCTCCTCTTCCTCCTCCTCCGTTCCTGTTCCAGGGCCTACATCACCACAACAGCCTGGTACTGTCCTACTAGGGCTGGGCAGTGTACTGTATTTTACGATTTACCTCGGACCGGTTTGGGTTTTTACTTTACCTTCTATAATGGTATTTGAATGTTTGGTTTGCTAAATGTGATACGCCATGTGTAACGTCCATTTATATAGTTTACTTCGCTACTTGAGTCATCTCTCTCCGCTCTCTCTCTCCAAGCCGCTTTCCACACAGACCTAGCCCCGCCCTCTGTCACTCGCGGAGCGCATTTCTCGTTCCTCAACCACGAGACACTTGCGTTCAGTCTGCATGGTCAATGCAGCACGTGCAACAATGTTGATGACAACGATGCTGTTTTCACTTTGCTTCTTATTATAAATCCACTAGCGTTCTAGAATTACACTATTAGTTTGTGCTTCTTACAACAGCTAGTTTGTATTTTCTTAGCAAGTTGGGCCCAAATCTTGTTAGCAGCTAATGCTAATCGCTAGCTAGCTAATAAATGTATTGATTCAGAGCAAACGTAATTAGCCATACAGCCTGATAATACCAGTGATGGTGTAGACCTTATCAGCATGTGCAACAGTATCTTCTAAATCAAAGAGGAATATGCGAAGCAAGAATGTTAGCTACATGAACTAGCTAAGAGAACATTCAATGTAGCCAAGGATTATAGGGTCCCCTCGGAAACACTTATCAACACTTTGGTTCCTACCCTGTCACAATAACGCCTCCCTGGCATTTTCATTCATTGTCATGCGAAACAACACTGTATTCAAAGTGCCCACTATTATGTTCTAACTATAGAATTAATCATTATTTCCATGATTCCAACAGTTCACCCAAGTGTTTTGCTATAAATCGCAAGTCAAATCACAATTGCAACATTCGGTTAAAAGGAAGGCCTAGATTGTTTGCTTATATTGTGCAGCCCTACATGGCAGTATGGAAATGATCTCAAATGAGTGCAGGAAATACAGAAATTGATGAAAATGCTGAAATATATTTTTGGTTGAATTGGACAGTATAAAACAATCAGAATGGAGAAAGACCTATTGAAATCACTTACAATGTATGTGTTGCCACCCTAGGGTCACGCACTACTCATAAAGCATATGTATAACTTTTATTATTCAAAAACATAAAATACCGTCAAATTTGAAATTATATTTTGGCCATATCACTCAGCCCTATGTCCTACAACACCCTGCCTAGAGATGCTACTCTCTGCTGGGGCTGAGGGATTGAGCAGGGAGGGGTGGAGAAGGGAGTTAACAATCTGTGGTTCTAGAGGTCCCAAGTGGAACCTATATTCCCTGCACAGTGCACTACTTCTGACCAGAGCGCTTTGGGCCTTGGTCATAAGTAGTGCACAATATAGGGAATAGGGTGCAAGTTGGGATGCATCCAGACTGTTGGGAAACCCTCCCTCCACCCCAGCCTGCCATTAGTGGTCAGCTCAGAGCACAGCACAGCCACACAACAGTCTCTGAGTGCCATTAATTAACATGAGATCACAAGGATAGAGTGATGGATGGAGGAAGAGAGAGAACTTTATCACTAATGATTCTCTTGGCTTCTACTCAGAAGCATCTCAGAAACAAGTTCTTCTTCTTCTTCGTCTTCTAAAGGGGGGTTAGCCTAATATTCTGTGTCTTTTCTCTTGCTTTGCACCCCCCTCTGTCTCTTTCCCACCCTCCCCTCTGTGTGTTAACCTCATGTTGTTAAGAGACGTTACTTAGTATTGTAAATCTAGCTTTAACCCCATGTTGTCTCTCCTTCTCTATAGGAGCTGTGTGATAACCCCAAGTTGTTTGTGAATGGTATCAGTGCTCATGACCTCCTCCAGGGCCAGCTGGGGAACTGTTGGTTCGTAGCTGCCTGCTCCTCCCTGGCATCCAGAGAAACTCTGTGGCAAAAGGTAAGACTCCCTGGCCATGTGCGTGCGTGCTGTGCGTGTGTTTGCCTTGGGTGTGTGACGTGCAGTAGGAGAATATGATTAGAGACCTGATCGAGAAGGATTTACAGTTGTCCCCACCACAAAAACACAAGCATGGACACACACACACACACACACACGGAATGACTTGGAATTTATTATCGTTTCCGGCTCCTATTTGGAGGAGTGGCTTGTGTTTGTGCATGCGTGTGTGTGGTGGTGTGGCCCTTCTAAGATGTCAGTGTGTTTTTTTTCCACTGAGTTCACAGTGAATCATTAGCATTAATCCCACTGGTCTCAACTTTTTGTGTTCAACTTTCCACCACTTCAGAGAGGCTCTGCCTAGCGCCTTACCCCTAGCCTGAAGGACGTCACTGTGTTGCTAACAGGTTCACCTCCTCCATTGTCCCTGTCCGTACAATGGCTCAAAATAGTAGTCCTTTGCTTCACAAGCACACGTGACTGCCCTGCATGACAATGACTTAACAATTGCACCACTGAAAAGGTACCAATTGGGCAGCGCAATTGGCGATATTTCAAGTTGTGGAGTGATCTTACTGGCATGATCTAACTCCGTACCCCTATATCACTAAATCATCACATTACAGAGAGGACTCTGATCTTTCATCTGAAACAACTGAGCAGGTTTATTATGTTCCTCCATTTCCTGAACAACAGAGGGTCTGTCACTGAGGAAACAGCTGCTGTTGGGTTGGAGAGCTTATTTCACCCAAGAGACAGACCTGGCAGGAGAGAGCTAAACAGACCGGGCCGATGAAGAGTTCTAAGCATTTTCTGTTCATTTCCCGGATGATTCTACATGTTGAAGTGCCACCCAGAAGGTGATCTACTGCACACAACCAATGTTCATTATGGTGTGTCTTCCTCTTAACACAGGCTCTCTGGATAAAGCTCTCTCCCCTCGAGCTGGGACTGTTGACCAACCTAGTGTCCGGTACAAGACTGTGTTAGTCCGCTGAGCTAAAGCCTCAGGCAAGGTTACATGTCTTCACTAAACTACCTCTGTTGCACCTGCACCATCATGACTGTTATTATTAGCTCCCAGGGAATAAAATATTGTTGTTATGAGTAGTAGTGGTGTGTGTGTGTGTGTGTGTGTGTTTGGATTAATTAATGGTTGTTTAGTCCCGGTGTTTAACGACATGTTCTATTTTTTACATTTTTGTCATTTTAGCAGACACTCTTATCCAGAGCGACTTACAGTTAGTGAGCGCATACATTATTTATTTATTTATTTTTCATACTGGCCTCCCGTGGGAATCGAACCCACAACCCTGGTGTTGCAAACGCCATGCTCTACCAACTGAGCTACATCCCTGCCGGCCATTCCCTCCCCTACCCTGGACGACGCTGGGCCAATTGTGCCAGGATCTCTAGTGGCACAGTTAGCACTGCGATGCAGTGCCTTAGACTCCCGAGTGGCGCAGTGGTCTATCAAGAGTCGGTAACAATGTGTTCTAGAAGCAGCTCGTTAACACAGAGACAGTAGAATTAATTGCACCAGACTGTACCTTCCTACTGTCCCCTCTACCCCAACAACACACACACACACCCTGTTGTTAATCCAGTGGGAGGGTGTTGCTATACTGTATAGGCTCCGGATCACTCTCATTAACGCACTCTCTTTCTCTCTTTCAATCTCGCTCTCTTTTTCTGTCTCTCTCTCTCAAAAGTGTTACATTTGCCTTCTGGTATGTAGTCTACCATTTGTCCAGTCTGTGTGTGTGTGAGAGAGTGTGTATTGATTGTCCTATGAATTAACAGCAACCGTTGCTACTGTAGCCTGAGGCTAAGCCATCTCTATCCTGTCCCCTGTCCTGACTATTAACACACACACAGCAGGACAGAGTACCAACCAACAGATCTTTATTGGACAGTAGTAGAGGACATGGCCAGTTTTACAGTATATAGTTGTGATAGTTCATGCAAAGGGTATATGGTAACCACTACATCAGTACAGTGTAATAGGAGAGTAATACAGTGTAGATTAGAGTCAAAGTACAGTAGGTAGTTGGAGTTACATTGCAGCATTGGTTCTCTAATATATTATATTCTCTAATATTCAGAACGAGCTATTCATTCAAATCATTCAGGTTTTCAATGTAAATCTACAGGTAACTGCCAAAATAAAAGAAACACTTCAGTAAATGAGGGATACAAAGTATATTGAAAGCAGCTGCTTCCACACAGGTGTGGTTCCTGAGTTAACGAACATCCCATCATACTTAGTCATGTATAAATTCTGAATTCTGGAGTGGCAGAAACAGCATTTTCAACCACCATCAACAAAACACCAAATGATGGAATTTCTTGTTGAAGAATGGTGTCGCATCACTCCAATAGAGTTCCAGACACTAGTAGAATTTATGCCAAAGTGTATTGAAGCTGTTCTGGCTCGTGGTGGCCCAACGCCCTATTAAGACACTTTATGTTGGTGTTTCTTTTATTTTGGCAGTTAACTGTATCTATAGGATTATAAACTCCTAAGTTAGTGATTCTGCAACCTACTGTACCTTTATCATAAGATGGTTTCTAGTGGCTTGCTGACTGACATGCATAGATAGATAGATGCTCAGGAAGGAAGTACACACACGCGCACACATAGATGAGAGATGGGACTCGGTGGGTGTGTGTGGGCGGGGGGCATAGAGAGCGAGAGGGAGAGGAGTGTAGACTGGTCCAACCTAGAATGGCTGTAGTAGAAGGCTTTCCCTTAGAATGGAGAGCAGGAGACTAGAGGGAAGAGGAATCAGTTAAAGGGATACTTCGGGATTTTGGCAATGAGGCCCTTTATCCCTTTCCCCAGAGTCAGATGAAAGTGTGGATACCATTTTTATGTCTGTGTTAGATGTAGTTTCACGAGCCAGTGCTAACTAACGTTAGTGCAATGGCTGGAAATCTATGGGTATCTGCTAGCATGCTTTTCAATGCTAGCAGATACCAATAGACTTCCAGTCATTGCCCTAATGCTAGTTAGCATTGGCTCGCAAAACTACCTCTATCTTCCTTCATACTCGACACAGAGAAGTACACACTTCTGTGTCCAGAGGGCCTCATTGCCAAAATCCAAAAAGTATCCCTTTAAGGTTTGTAGGTCAGGCCTGATTGAACTCCACGGAGATGCTGACCTTGTCAGCCTCCGCCCCCTCCTTGAAGGCAAACAGGAAGTACATGACCTTGCGGACCTTGGCCAGCTCCGCGATTCGCTCCCCGAACTCCTGGATGTCTGCCTCCAGACACTTGAGGGGCGTGTCCTCCGAGTCGCCTGCGTTCCGCCAGAATGTTCCGACGGGGTCTAGAAGCTGCCGGGTCATCAGGTGTGTGAGATCAGGGGTCCAGAGCTGGGAGATCCCCGTGACGGTCACTCTGCCATGGCCAATCAGAGACACCGACCAGTGGACGAACGTCAGCTTCTGATTGGAGAAGTCCAGACGGTAAACTGCCTCGTGGGGGAGGAGCAACCGCTCCCCCTCCTGTCGCTTCTGACCGCTCCGCTGCAGGGACTGGACACGCAGCCGCATCACCTAGCGACAATAATAACTATATTAATAATGTAATAATACTATAATATAACTAGACTTTTGACCACTCCACTGCTCCGCTGCAGAGACTGGACACACAGACGAATCACATTGTAGAATAATAATAATAATACTTTTTATAATAGTATAACTACAATATGCTGGATGTACTGGATTCTCAGACGCAGGTACCATTCAATCGACTCCTGAAAACTGTCCATGCGTTTGTCGGTAAATAGGCTACTTTTTTTCAGATAAGCACATATTTAAGACAGTACCAAACTACTACACATAGCAGAAGATGATTTTTGAATTTTGTATGTCTACTAGAAAATACTTTTGCCTAAAGTGACTTACAGTAAACACATTACTCAGTATATCTGACCCATGCAAGAATCAAACTCACAACCAACTGTGAACCATTGCTTGTGCTATTTCAATCACCAACCACATATCAACCATCTTAACCACATCTCAACCTCATCTCAACCATGTGAACAGTCTTACCTCAGTGAGAGAGGTGTCCTCTGCAAAGCGTAGCTCCAGGGCTGAGCCAGACGAGGCTGCCGAGTCTGTGTCCGTCTGAGAGCTCATCTTTCTGTGCTGGGAGGGAGCGAGGCCTGTCTGTCTGTCTGGATGGATATCTGTGTCTCTGTGTGTCTGTGCCTGCAGATAGTTTCACTGTGTTCCTCTGTCTCTGTCTCTTATGCCATCTCTTTTCCCTCCCCCTCCCTTTCCCAGAGGGTAGTATGGTTGGGTTGGTTCTCTGGTTGGGACTATTGATTGTGTGGCATGTACAGTGAGGGAGGGAGGGATGGAGAACCATAAGTTAGGAGGGGGTGTGTGGTGGTGCTAGGCAACAGGAAGTGATGACATCAGAAGAGGAACCAGGGATTTTCCTGAGGGCTTCTGGGAGCTGGTTGGTCATAGCTGGATGGGCTGGTTATTAATATACACACTGGGCTGGCTGTGTGTGTGTGTGTAAGTGTGTTTTTTTTATCTGTGTGGGTATGCGCCTATGTCTGTTTGTGGTGTGTACATGGTTGTATGTATTATTTTGCTTTTGTTGTTATGATGCACTAGATGGTTGCTTGTTTTGGCTCCTGTTTTAGTTAGCTGTGATGTGTTCTTTTAAATAGATCTTTTTAGATTTTTATTGAGCAGATAGTGAGAGAGACTGGCAGTGGGCAAAGTTGGAGCGAGATTGTATCAAAGGGCAGTAGGCTGGATTGGAACCCATGCCGATACTAAAGAAGTGTGCCGGACCGCTAGACCAGCCAGGGCAAACAACTGTGACGTGTTCTAAGCATCTTCTCTCCCTCCCAGGTGATTCCGGACCATAAGGACCAGGAATGGGATGAGAACAAGCCGGAATCTTACGCCGGAATTTTCCACTTCCGCTTCTGGCGCTTTGGAGAATGGGTGGATGTTGTCATCGACGACCGGTTGCCCACGTCGAATGGCAACTTTGTGTATTGTCACTCCAATGACAGCAACGAGTTCTGGAGCGCCCTGGTGGAGAAGGCCTACGCCAAGTTAGTACACACACACACACACTGATTTTGGTGGGGAAGGCCTACGCCAAGTTAGTACTATAGATAGACTGTTGTGTTTATGTGTAGGATGAATTGCTTTTGCTGACTGTGTGTGTATAGGATGTATGGGTGTTACGAGGCATTGGACGGGGGCAACACAGCGGATGCGTTGGTGGATTTCACGGGTGGCGTCTCGGAGCCCTTGGACCTGCTGGAGCAAGGGTTGGGCACGGACGAGGAGAAACGCTCAGCGCTGTTCGACAGAGTCCTCAAGGTCCACAACAGAGGAGGCCTCATCAGCGCCTCCATAAGGGTATAACACACACACACACACAGATGCACGCGCGCGCGCGCACACACCTATAGTCCTGACCCTTCACCACTACCTCCAGGCGGCCAGTTCAGCGGAGATGGAGGCTCGTCTGGCCTGTGGTCTGGTGAAGGGTCACGCCTACGCTGTGACAGACGTTAGAAAGGTCCGGCTGGGCCACGGCCTCATGGCTTACTTCAAGTCTGACAAACTCACAATGATACGACTCCGAAACCCCTGGGGAGAGAAAGAGTGGAACGGAGCCTGGAGCGACAGGTAGGTTTTAATGTTTGTTATTTACCTTTAGTTATACAAGAAGTCCCATTTAGGTCAGAATACTTATTTCACAAGGAAGACCTGGCCTGGTAGGAGGGGGGAGGAGGAGTGTGTATGGCTGGGTATGGCAGTCGTTATACCCTAGCTAGCTCAACACCAACACATTTTAAATAGGCTACGAAAATCATTCAAATCCAGATTAAAAGGCAAATGCAGTTTAGAGGCATTACTTTATGACCATGCGGATGCCTGGGAGCTGGAGGGAACGCTGTTTGTATGGCTGGCTGGCTTGATTGAGAACAGAGATCTGTATATAATGACTAGATGCTCATGTATAAGCCCTAATAATGGGATTCGTTGTCCCAAAGGCGGGAAGGCAGGTGACCAAGCTTATGGCCAAAATAAACCTATTGAAACGCATTGGCCTTATATTGGACAGGTTTTTGTGAGAGTGAAACCTCTCGCTTCGCCTCTTCCTCTCTGTGGAAAGCACATCGACGCAGTTGCAGGGAACAGGGTGACTTTTTTTCAACACATTGCAGAACTAAAGATGGCTGTAGTAGATTGCTTTGGCTAGGTAGGGATGTAGCTCAGTTGGTAGAGTATGGCGTTTGCAATGCCAGGGTTGTGGGTTCGATTCCCATGGGGGGTATGAAAAATCAAAACTATTATGTATGCACTCACTAACTGTAAGTCGCTCTGGATAAGAGCGTATGCTAAATGACTAAAATGTAAATGTAACTGCTGTTTGACTTAACATGAAACTGAACTAGAGTTTTAATCCTGGTGCTGAGTTAGTGCGTAGCAGGCAGGTGAGTTTTTAAATTGTGTAGAAATGCAGTAAATGAGCCTCTATATATATGTTGTTTTATTTTTTTAAAATTATGTATACTTGGATGAACCCATGCCCCTCTGTGTGTGTGTGTGTGTGTGTAAGTATGTATGTGTATATAGACCTGTTCCTGACTCACTGCTCCCTCTGCTAGTGGAGAGAGGTAGTGTAGGCCAACAGGGAAACATATTTAGCACAGATAGATGGTTCATTCCTGTTAGAATGTTTGTTTAATTTATATCCTGTATCATAGGAAAATTCCAAAAAGGATCTCGGCACAAAGGTCTGGGGGAAACTGTCCATGTGAGCCACTGTTGGTGTCCATGTCTCAGAACCTTGAGTCCCCTACTCTCAGTTCTGTTCTGTTAGCATTCTTTCACTCTACACACCACACCTTCAGACAAACACTGCACGATAGAGAACTTCTCTGCAACAACTTCTCTCCTCTCTCTCAGCTCAGAGGAGTGGGGGAAGGTGAGTAAGAGTGAAAGAGAGAAGATCGGAGTGACGGTGCAGGACGATGGAGAATTTTGGTGAGTTCTAACCCTTGACCTATGACCTCTACCCATGAACCCTAACATTTCCTCCACACGGCTGAGAAAATGGATGGCCATAGGATGAAGCTTGATGACTTTCCATTTTCCTGCCCCCCCCCCCCCCTCCCCCCACCCCAGGATGACATTTGATGACTTCTGTCAGTACTTCAGTGATTTGATCATGTGTCGTCTGATCAACACTTCCTACCTGTCTCTCCACAAGACCTGGGAGGAGAGCTCTCTAAAGGGCGCCTGGCAGAACCATGACAACCCGCTCCGCAACCGCGCCGGGGGCTGCACCAACAACAAACACACCTTCCTACAGAACCCACAGGTAGGGGTAGGGATTGGGGGGGGGGGGGGGTGTTTATCTATGTGTGTATTAATGTATAGGACGGGTGTGTGTGTGTGTGTATTAATGTGTGTGTATCTCTCCCTGTAGTATGTGTTCAATGTGAAGAAGCCAGAGGATGAGGTGCTGGTATGTCTACAGCAGACAGACAGGAGAGCCAGACCTAAAGAGGGAAAGGGAGAGAACCTGGCTATAGGCTTCGAGATACACCGGGTGAGAAGTGTGTGTGCGTGTTTATCACCTCACGGTGTGTGTGTGTGTGTGTGTGTATGGAAGTGTTAATTAAAATGAATGTGTGTGTGTGTAGGTTGAGTTGAACAGGCAGTACCGTATGCACACTCGGCAGCAGAAGGTGTGTGGGAGTGTGTACATCAACTCCAGGTGTGTGTTCCTACGCTGTGCCCTGAAGGAGGGTCGTTATGTTATCATACCCACGACCTTTGACCCCGCTCTAGAAGGAGACCTCCTGTTACGCATCTTCACCGACATCCCCGCTGACTGCAGGTACATACATGCACACTCACTCACTCACTCACTCACTCACTCACTCACTCACTCACTCACTCACTCACTCACTCACTCTCCTCATTCTCTCTCTCTCACCTCCCCCCATAGAGAGTTAACCCTAGATGAGCCAGCCCAGACGTGTTGGTCAGGACTGTGTGGTTTCCCTTCCCTGGTCACTCAGATTCATGTCCACAGAGCAGATGGACTGGCTGGACAAGACTCTGATGGAGGTATACAAACCTTCTCTCCCTTCTCCGTCCGTTCCTTTTTCTTCTCTGTTCTGGTCCTTTTCTTGTCTTCTTCTCCTCTTGACAGTCTGTATGTGTGTGTTGCAGCTTCAGACCCATATGTGATCATTCGTTGTGAGGGGGAGAAGGTTCGTTCTCCGGTCTATAAAGACACTCGCAGCCCAACCTTCGACACGAAGGCTCTATTCTACAGGAAGAAAACTAACCAGCCTATACTGATAGAGGTGAGGAGACTGCTGGGGGGTGGGGTCCGTGTGCGTGCTTGTGTGCATGTGGGTTAAAGTGGAGTTAAAGTAGCGTGAACATCACAATTAGTGTTGTTTCTATAAGTAACCGTTCTCTCAATTCAATTCAATACAACTTTATTCATCCTCCAGGTGTATAACCACAACGTGTTGATGGATTCCTTCCTGGGTCAGGTCAGTTTGACCTCTGACCCCGGCGACCCCCAGCAGGTTACCGTCCACCTGAGGGACAAGGGTAATCACCAAGACAACGACCTCCCGGGCACGCTCACCATCTCCATGGTGACCAGCAACATTCTCACTAACATCTGACTAACCGTCAATCAACCAATCTATCAATCAGTGCCTTACTCTCTCCGTCCCATAGGAGAGAAGAGCCAAACAGGTGCCAGTAACAGAGTATATGATTGGCCAAGAGGTCCCTACTGTTTCTCTATGTGCTGGAACTGGCAGTATACATGATTACACTGTTCAATATACACATTTTACATTTTAGTCATTTAGCAGACGCTCTTATCTAGAGCGACTTACAGTTAGTGAGTGCATACATTTTTCATACTGGCCCCCGTGGGAAACGAACCCACAACCCTGGCGTTGCAAGCGCCATGCTCTACCAACTGAGCTACACATCATCACTATATGTACTGTATACACTATATGTTTACAATTTATATATCTTTAAAGTTGTATTGTTTTGCCAAAGATTTGATCATACATATCAATTAATTTGCCATAAAACATATCTGTTGAGGGACCAAAGTTAGCCTTCCAGACAATATAGTGTTGGTGTTTTTACTGCATGTAGTACTAGCCCCGATCACATTGGGGCAACAGAGGACAGATCGTCTCCTAGTTCTCCTTTCTCATCTAATAACCACTTTAACTTGTGCCTTTACACATACATAAATACAGGGTTGAGTATTTCGGCTGTATATATTGTCCTGTTTACATTTATTGACATTATTTTAGTTTTACATTTCAGTCAGCTTTGTACTAGTCTCTCTCAAGTAGCTGAGTTGGTTCTGGGTGCAGAGAGCAGCTACTGACATTTCTAGTCTTTAGGGGAGACATTTTAAAAGTTATTTTTGTTAATAACTTTATAATTAAACTTTTAAAAAAGGAGATATGTTGCTCTGCTTTGTATCACGTTGATTTTCCAGTGGGAGGCCCAATAGCAGTAGACAGACTAGACTAGATTCACTAGAGGAGAAGAGCGATTTAAGCTACAGTTTCACACCAATACTGCCACTCTTACATTAGACTCTACACTCAAACACTCAACTCCTTCATTCCTTTCGTTCTCACACACACTCTGTGTATGACCCATATTACTCTATCATATTCTATTACCTCCAGTTACTACAGTGCCATGTAGATCATGTTTCAAATCATATCACAGTTATCCATAGCATTCTCGTCATCATGAAGACTTCATAACACTGTCATAAGTGACATAGCAGGTGTCAGTAGTGCCAGTCTCTGTCATGGTGGTGGGTCCTTGTCAGAGAGAGACTGGTTCATCTGAGCAGGCTTGTTTCTTATCTTTAGAAGTAAACGTTTATTATATTTTAATGTACTGCAGGGCGATTTAAAGGCTATTTAATGGATGATTTTGTTAGTTTTATACTAATCTGTTTCTCTTGAAACTTGTTGGCTGGTTTCAGTCGAATGTGTACTGTAATAAATACTTAAAACACTGTCAGTCTGGTGTCGGGTCATTCTGTGTCCCATCCTCCATTTTATTGTGTGTCTGGTCCCATTACTCAGCAGAACTCTCTTGATAGAGTCCACTATCAACCATGCTATGTAGAGCGAGAGTGTGTGTGCTGTTAGGTTCAGTGAGGTGTGAGGAACACCGATCAATATGTCTTTCAGAACAGCCTGACCTTTAATACAGCAACACCATTAGAAGACAGACATATGCACCCTTTTTGTATGTGTACAGTATATGCACTGTGTCTTTTCAATGTGAAGCAATGCATTTTCTGTGTGCATGTTGAATGATTGTGTTGTGTGTGTCTAATTGTGTGTGACCTCCACTACGTTGTGCCTCACTGCCCCCCATTGGGTTTCCTGCCCCCCTCTCTCTCCCTCCCTCCCTCCCATCTCTCTCTCCCTCCAGCTCTATCGCTCTCTCCCCAGTAACTCTAAATGGGATCAGTGGTAGTGAATGAGCCGGTGTGTCACAGCTAATACCTTCACAGAGAGAGGGAGCAGGAGTGAGGGAGGCACTAATACCTCTATAGTGCAGCAGGTGTCTGACCACCCACTGAGCGAGCGAGAGAGATTCAAGAAGCCCCTCTCTTTCTCCGTCCTGCCTTCATCCATCCACCCCACTGCATTCTGTGGACTTATCTGAGTGAACATAGACCTGGGACACCTATCCAGAACGAGTGAGAGAGGGGTATAGAAAGAGGACTGTACACAGAGGTAATAACATACAGCCAAGAGGCTAAAAGAAGCATGGAGGCTTTGGCTTTTAAAGCTTTCTTTTTGCTAACGTCTCCCTCGTGTGTGTGTGTGTGTTACAAGGCTTATTTTTGTTTGTCCAGATGACATACTTTTCTGATTGTGGTAGAGTGTGTTAGTACAGTATGTTGCTCTATATCTGACACTGTGTCCATTCTATTCTGCTCCGTATCTCTAGTCCTAGTATGTGGTTTCAGGGTGTTCACATGGAGAAACAGTAATGATTAACTAACCATTGAATCATAGGCAGACCTGCCTTGTGTGTGTGTGTAAGCAGCGCTGATAGAGCCCTCTTTAGCTACTCTACTTCCTGTATGTACTGTATCTCATTTAGAGCATCCTCTCTGCTCCGGGTTGTGGATACTGACTAGTTACAGAGAGGGACCCTCCACCATCTCTCCTGTCCTTCCTTGGACTCACACAGCTAGTGTTGCTTTATCAGCTGTAGAAATTATTTAAAAAATGTTTAGTTCCTGCAGCAGCTTCAATAGTGTTCAGATGACATTCAGATAACATGTAATGTGTTTATAGGCTCTGCTGTTACTACCGTCAATAAACTACAGTTACATTACTACCTCTCCCAGAGGGTTAACTACTGGCACAGTGCAGTGGGAAGTGTGTCTGCCAAAGAACTCAATAATACTTTTCAATTTGGTGATATGTAATAATAATAATAATATGCCATTTAGCAGACGCTTTTATCCAAAGCGACTTACAGTCATGCGTGCATACATTATTATTATTTTTTTGTGTATGGGTGGTCCCGGGGATCGAACCCACTACCTTGGCGTTACAAGCGCCGTGCTCTACCAGCTGAGCTACAGAGGACCACATGTAGCAAACAGGAAGCCTTTATATGCATGACATAAAGAATGTATTCTACATGAATGCTACATATCACTACTCTAAGTAAGGTGTTACCGTTAATTATATTGGCACAGTGGGTAGTGAGCCTGCATCAGAAATACTGAGTTTCTGGTTCAACTCCAGAGTTAATTACCCCCCAACTTTGTTACAGGAGTTTAAATCAGTTCAAATCAGAGGTTTTACATCGCCATAAACTCATTCCGTTAGTCTTATTGTAAGTAGATCCTGGTTAATCATTATACACTCTCTGTATCTCTCTCTCTCGCTCGCTGTCTTCTATAAGTTGATCGGTTTATCAGAGTCTGACAGTTTTGGTGTTGCGTGAGAGTGTTGATTAGAATTGAGTTTTAATGGGGGCAATGTGGGTTAGCCTAATTTCCTGTATCCTTTCTCTTGCTGTGCATCCCTCTCTTTCTCGCTCTCTCTTTCTCTCGCTCTCTGTCTCTCTCTCTCTTTGTGTCTCTCTGAGTTATTTCAGGAGGTATAGGGTCTCGGGGGGCAGTATGTACAGCTGAGGAGGGCGGGTTCAATGTACTTTTATAATGGGTTTCTGGAATGTATATTGCATTGTATTGTACTGTGCAATGTGATTGGGTTTGGCGGTATGCACTGGTGGGTGGGGTGGGGTAATATGGTGTTTTTAGTGTACTGACGAGGGCTCAGAGTTAGTCTCTCAGTCTCTCTTCCTCTGTCTCTCTCTCTCTCTTCCTCTCTTTCCGTCTCTGACCTATAAAACAATAAAAGTCTGGGTCCTCGCTGGTGGAGGCGATGGAATTACAGACGGGCTGTTTCTCAGAAGCCCACACTCAGGTGATCAACAACAATGACTGGCATCGCTCAGAGAACGAAGGGAAAGGATTATATCTCCTTCTTTCCTTCTCTCTCTCTAATTTTATTTTAATCTCTCTTTCTCTCCTTCTCCCTCTCTTTCTCTCTCTGTTATATGTGTGTGTTTGTGTGTGTATGTTGTACAAGAAGCTGTACATATTCATGTTTTCCAGAATTGCTGTTCTATATCTGTGTTTTCATATTCAAACACGTACATACACACAACTTATGCTAGGTCTCCCTGGCTGCAACCTTTGTGTCAGACCTCTGCTGTGGTAATTAGATGCTAAAATATTGATGGAGAGTCGTTACCCTTCCTAGCCCTACCGCATGTTTTTGTGTGTGTTCTCAGCAGTGGTTTAATCAGGCTTGAGGGCACAGAGCCGACATCTATTTACTACAGGAAACTAACCAATAAATTGCATTTTCCTGTCTCCCCCAAACATCCCTCCCCCTAAACCTCACTCTCTCTCCCCTAACCCTCCCTATATCCCCAAAACATCCCCCTCTCTCTCACCCAACCCTCACTGTCTCCCCAAACATCTCTCCCCCCAACCGTACTTGTCTCCACGAAACATCCCTCCCTCTCGCCAACCCTTCCCGTCTCACCCAAATACCCCTCCCCTACCCCTAAACCTCCCTCTCTCCCCCCAACCCTCCTTGTCTCCCCCAAACACCACTCCCCCCAACTCACTGTCTCCTCCTACTGTGTGTGTAGCAGGAAGGGTGTGTCAAAAGCTTAAACTAAAGTATAATTAGGGGGATGAATAATTTACTAGGTCTAAAACACAGTGGCAGAGGTGGGAATGAGGCAAGGACATTGGTCATGTCATGCGGGTCATGGAGGACCTGTGAAGGGTGTGTGTAGGTGGATGAAGGATTGGGGTGGTGTGTGTATTTTATGGCAGTGAGAATGTACATTGAATTTGTGTGAGTGGCCAACTTCAATACAAAGGCAGTTTCAGTAACCTTAATATGCAAATGAGAATGTTGTTGGTCATTTTCCAGAGCAGCCGACTAACTGGTTGGTTGTATCCCAGATGGCACCCTATTCCCTATAAAGTGAACTACTTTTGACCAGTGCTGTCACGATCGTCGGTAAGAGAGGAGGACCAAGGCGCAGCGTTGCAGGCAAACATACTCTTTATTTAGCGATAAACGACAAAATAAACAAAACGATAACGTGACAGTTCACGGTCTAACACAAACCAACTCGAAAC